GGTACATTCAAGCAGATTTTCGAATTGACTTGCATTTTCCTACCATTGATCACTCCTATAGACAAAAGGCCTATTGGTTTTCCTTGAAATGTGTTGTCAGTGGTGCATACATGCTGACAAAAGAGAAAACCTAGGGGCAACAATGGGCACATCTCTGCTAGTTTTTAAGATATGAGAGGCAATAAAATATGCAAAGCTCAGTTCATGGTGAAAAAGGAGGTCAAAGGTCAATTTTAATATCATAGTATATGAATTTCTTTTAAGTTCAATAGTAACCATGGGCATTTCTTTGCCAATTTTGCAGATTTAAAGGCCAGAAAACATGCAAAAAGCAGTTCATCATAAAAAGTAGGTCAAAGGTCAATTTCAAGGTCACAGATTGCAAGTGTATTACTTCCTATTCAAGTTCAATAGTAACTATGGACCTATCTCTGCCAGTTTTGGAGATAAAAGGGAACGAAAATTTGAAAAGATCAGTTCATGGTAAAAAGTAGATCAAAGGTCGATTTTAAGGCAAGAGTAAATTGCCAGTATATGACTTCCTATTCAAGTTCAATAGTAACCACGGACCTATCTCTGCCAGTTTGGAGATAAAAGGGAAGCAAAATTTGCAAAGTTCAGTTCATGGTGAAAAGTAGGTCAAAGGTCAATGTCAAGGTCACAGTAAGATTGCCAGTATATGACTTCCTATTCAACTTCAATAGTAACTATGGACCTATCTCTGCCAGTTTTGGAGATATAAGGGACTAAATGTTATAATTTTGGAGTTACAATAATGTGTCATAAATTTCCTACAGAAAAAATTAAATAAAATAAAGAAAAGGTCATTTTGGTTGAAATTCCTAAAATGGGAGGTGCTCAGAAGTTCCAGATGTTCAAATTTCACGAAATAATGTCATTTTTAACCAGAAGTTGTCTGCCTCGCCAAGCCTTATGTTTTATTTTCCCGGGGTTCAAAATTTATTATCCATTACCGTACTGCACATTTTGCTTTCACCACTAATATGTACTTTTTGATACAGCGTAACTCGAAAACCATATGGAATACCAAAAAACGGAGACCGCTACCAGTATTGGACTTTACATGCTCTACAAAATGCAAAAAAGAATGGGTCTCTAGCATTAACAGTTCCCGAATTAGAGACAGTTTTCAGTTTCGGTATCTTATGGCCGCTTCTCCCATAAAAATGCACCGATTGACCCCAAATTCACAGAGATGAAAGATGACCCGAAGAGTAACACTTTCCAATAATATTACTGGTTAAATCTGTGTAGTGTCTGAATAACAGCGCAAATAATTTTTTTTCGTAAAAAAAATTTCTTTTTTTTTTTAATTTTGGCCCATTTGACCTTGAAATAAGGGTCAAAGGTCAAATCCAAGGGCATATTTGAAATCTCCACATATGACTTTTGGAAAGCTGTCTCTACAAATTTTTCCCATAATTCCTTCCGTAGGGTAGATAATTAGCATTTAATTTTGCTATTTTTGGACAAGGGTGCATTGCAATGAGTGCCACACCTAGACCCCAGCACCGACGAAGCCCAAATTTTACGTGGAACGAGTTGAGATTATAGGTGACCTAAATCCAAGAGATGGGTGCGCAGGCCCTTATAGTCTAGGAGGAGAAGCGGTAACGATGATATGGCGGCGGAGACAACGGAGCCGGCAGAACAGGCAGGTCGGGACTAAAACCATGTGTACCGCCAGCGCCTACGCTGGTGGTACAATAAATTGGAGCTCTCCCTACCTCACTTTGACTTGTCAAAAGTTTCACCCTCCGAGCTTCTTGCATCAGCTTCTTCTGCTTCTTTTCAACCTTCTTATTCTGCCTCATTAATTTCATGAAAACTTCTCCCTGTTCTTCCTCTCTCCGCTTAGCTTCCATGAGCTGACGGTTAGCCCTCTCTAGCTCTTTAATGACTGGCTTAGGCTTATTATCCTGAGAGCTGGATGCCTAGATGTATTATAATTAGTCAACATTCAAATATTGAATTGACATTTAAATATAAAATAAAAAAATTTTCATATAAAAACATCTGGATATGTTCTGGCGTCTTAAATCACTTTTCTGCATATCATTGACAAATGAAACTCAATTTGTATACCATTTCAGTGTTATTATACCTCATTGTTCCTAAGTAAGTTCTGAGACTGCAGTGTTTGCAGTTGATGTTCTCTCATCTGCACCAATCTTTCCCTACTTTGTAATTCTCATGCAGAAAAAAAATTAATTCATTTCATTCAGAAACAGAGTGTACTTCACAGTAGGAACTTAAATTATGTCATTTATATGAATACGTATATACATATTCACTTATCTAAATACTGACTCACTGTAAGTTATCAATATTTGTCATAATTTCAACATTCGAGAAACATGTATAAACCAGACGTGTGTTGAACACATTTATCACATTTATTTAGTTTTGTCCATCAGGCTTTCTTAGTTATCATTTTTAGGGAGGGCATTTCGATAGTCCGAAGGTTCATTGGTCCGAAAAGTGGTAACATTTTCATCGATTTTTTAATCAAGGGTTCATTGGTCCGAAGGTTCTATAGTGAATATTCGGACCAATGAACCTTCGGACTATTGAACCTTCGGACTATTGCTATGGCCCCTTTTTAGGCACAAGCTCTACTCATTATCTTTATTTGTGAATATTTGACGTATACAACACTCAAAACTGTGAGGAAAAATGTCTACCTGCTGAACATGCTGTGGTGGTTGATATGAATGTTTCTTTAATTTTCTGAAAAATAAAAATTTACATTTGTTTGTTAGACATGAACTCAATTCCTGTCAAATAACATCAACTTAGATTTTAGTTTCTGATACTGAAGGCATGTGGCACTGAATTCACAGGGCCTGATCTTAAATATACCAACATTATTTATTCAGTAATCTTCCAAACTGACTCTCCATGCTATTTACAATACATAACTCTAACAAGGCAGCAAAGCTGTCAAATGTATAGACAAAAAACAGAAAATAAAGATGCAAAATAGGTCATTTTGTTAATTTTGATGCAATATTAAAGCAACAATAACTTTGTTCAGTTATCGTGTTATCAGGGTTGAATATATATGCTGAAAAAAGTGAAAAAACAGCATAACTTCCATATAAATAGCCCGATCATGCTGATTTTCGAACTTGACCTGTGTGTTATGAATAAATATTTAACAGTTCTGTAAGTTTCAAACCAAATGGGAAATCGGTTTTTCACTTATCCAGTTATCGGTGTTGCATAAATGCTGAAAAAAAGTGAAAAAAACAGCATAACTTCCATATAAATGGCCTGATCATGCTGATTTTCGAACTTCACCTGCGTATTATGAATATTCATCAGTTCTGTAAGTTTCAAGCCAAAAGGTAAAACGGTTTTTCACCAATCGTGATATCGGTGTTGCATAAATGCTGAAAAAAGTGAAAAAACAGCATAAATTCTGTAAAAACTGCGTCTGTACATAAAAAGGTGAAAGTGTTATCAATCTTTTCATACAAGAAAAAAGTATCCAATGTTATGCAATTAAAATATATTACTGATACATTTCCAGTGATTAGATAATTAATGTAATGTATAACATAATCATACTGTTGTTTCTTATAGGTCTTTGGATAGGAAGCCCTCGAAACATCATTCTCATCCTCGGGTTCTTCTTCAATGTCACAGCGACTTAAACAAAATAAAAAGATATATGTTAAGTCTTTGATATGACTATGCACCTTACTGTTATACCAGCATGTTCCCAGTTCCTGGCATAATAACATTTCGTGCATAACAAAAATTAGGCTCATTAAGTTCTACACTGACTAACATTTTCTAGAAATGCTTCTGCAGCAGCACTTACATTGCGAAATCAAGCTAAAATCAGGCATATGACATTTTATGGCACTTGTTTGCTATTCTGTTATTATAAAATACTGACTTGTGTGTTGGGTCTGGGTTTAGGTAGCAGTACCACTTGTCTGGCAGATTACTGTCATCAACGCCATCTGGTAACCGTCTCCACTTCAAACATTGAGGATTGTCGCATTGAACCCATGTCCAATCTGGTTTTTGACTGAGGAATAAATACAAAAAGGCAATAGGCTACATTTCATTTCAAACAACAGAAGTTTTATTAAAATTTCCTTCATATCTATTTGAATATCTCTTAAGAGAAAATATGTTACACCTAACATGTTCATGCACTTTTCATACATAATTCTTGGTCCACCAGACTTTCCTAATTGTAATCTTGACCTGAAGTTAGACCCAACCATGGTAATTCTTGAACAAAATTAAAGCAAATCTGTCTTATGATAAAAATGGCAGTAATATCCATCTTTTTGCCTTCTGTTGACAGTAGTGTTGTTCCCATCTGCAGACATTTTCTCATTCCAGTAGTCATCCAACTTCCGACCAAGTGCACTGATACAAGCACTGAAAGGAAATAATAATTGTTTAAGTGACGATTTCCAATATCAAACACAATTCCTTCAAGAAATAATGGCACCTTAATATAAAATCAATAGTTACAAACCTTCAATATAAGTACGTACATCTGCGAATAGAAAATAGAATTTAGAAAATAGACATTGCATGTGAATGAAGCCTAAGGTTTGCTAAATGCACACTTAAATTATGGCATTCAATAGCTAAGCACCTATGTCATATTTCATGTGCACATTTGGGAAAAAGAGTCAATTGGTTCCAGTGTGCACTAATTATCATGCATGTATTTCATGTCTTAATATTGGAATAAATGTCAACTAACCTGCCTACTCAACATACTTCCAGTATTTCTTAGTATATTATTTATTATGATGCATTTCTTTATCATAGTAAATATTTCATGTATTTCTTAGAATAATTTGTATTTTTTCACAAATACACCATTACTGGTATATCACTTTTTTTCTTCTTGCCTATTCTATTACATCTATTCAGATTTTTATTGATAGTCAATGCCTTAAAGAAGACTTATGGTAACTTGAAATGATTATTAAAATCCACAGGAGCTTATGTAGCATTAAACTACTTACTTGTATCTGGCTGTTTTATTGAAATCTTGCTTATTGTGTATAGGTTCCAAGAAATCTACCTCAGCAACACCAACAACTCCTACACCCAATGGGTTATTCTACAACAAATAAGAAAGAACTAAAGGCCTGGGGTAGCACACAAAATTTCCATCTTTCATCTCTAAATATGTCTATGGATGTACCTGACAGTTCACTTTACCCGACTCATGTTACAGTCATGTTTCTGTCAAGCGACCTTTAAAGGCACATTCTTAAAATTATTTTTTTGTTTGGAACATACTGCACTTGAAATTTGTTGAAGGTCCCATGAATTTTCTTTTTTTTTTTTTTTCTTATTTATTTCTTACATGATTTGTCAAAATTTCGAAAGTCTTACATCCCTAAAGAATGTTCTTTAAAAAATTCATTTGCAAGAACCAGTAGCAGCCTATGATGCTTTAATCATCAATAATCCAAAACTTAACAAAGAGTAACCAAAAGTTAAATAGGCAAATAAGGTAAGGAGGAAATTTGCACATTCCTGTAATGTTAGTCTGTTATTTATTAGTATATTGTAGGTCAGGAAATTCAAGACAGGCCAAAAAAAATTGGATGTAGCATACCTGTTTTTGACATCCTACTTTTTCATAGGCTTTGATGAGTCTGTTCCTATGATACAGCATAATACCATAGTCCTGCTTTTGTGGAGAGAAGCCAAAAATGATCTTCATGGTTTTTTTTCTGTCAAGCAGTCAAGGCAATTTTTATCAAATCTTCTTGCACATTCAAAAATGATATTGTTAATTTGTATCCAATACATATACTGTAGATTAAATGTTAAATACACATCAAAGATGGCACATATTCAGACACAGAAAAGAATATAAAAAAGACTATGTCTAAATAAGATGGATGGTGAAAGAGTTATATTCTCAAACATTTCATCACTTTTCACCTCAAAAACTGGTATGGCCTGTCTACATAGGAGAAAAATATGTTTCACTAAAAATGAAAAATTTTATGACACACCATAACTGAATATTGTAAATTCATCCTTAAATCAACTAAAATGGAGCAAGGCATACTGCACTAATAACAAAAGTAGTTTTGGCAAATAAGGATTCAAGCCATGTTGGCCTATAAACATCGCTTTCAGTTTCACTAAGACTTTTAGTAATCAGCTTTGTTTTAACTTTGGACCCCCTCAATATGATCTTCATTCGAGGCTTGAGAAATAAAATGGAACAGTATTCCTGAAAAGAATCATGATAAAACATAAATCATTAACTTAAGTAATTCCAAAATGTTTTTTTTTAATTTGCTTCATTAAAATTTTGTCTAATTTTCAACTTGAATTTCCTTAAAAATCCTAAAAAGCAAAAAGCAAATCCTAAAATTCAGACAAAGGCTAAAATATGCAAGCTAGTGGATAAATACCAATTCTGTTTCTAAAGTAACTTGCACTAACTTAAAATGTGCCTCTGACATGGAAGTGGTATATTAATTAATAGTTTAGAAATGTCAAAATTGCAGTATTGTACCCTTAGAGAGCGGGTATACTCTGGTTTATGTTCCACCACTGGTCTGTTCACAGCATTGGCTGTGGTGTTCAGGTCCATCTGTTCATGCTCTAGATTCATTATGTCATCAGGTTTACTCTGAAAATCCAACTCAAGCATACCATCACTTGACCTGGGGAAGGGAAAGAGAACAAAATTAATGAGTTATAGATATAAACTGTTCAATCAAATCTATTGTGGGGAATTAGGTAAAAATTGCCTTTTTTTTTTGCTACCTACATCCACATAAATCGTATCGTAAGGAGCAGTAATTGCTGTATTTAAATTCACTTAAATGGATGACTTTCAAAAATGTAGCAGACATATTGGAGTTCACACACACACACACACACACACACACACACACACACAAGGGATTTTGTTCGCGGAAGACTGGCAGTGGATGATCGTTACCTATCCAACCGATACGCCAAGACAATTTTCATATTCGCGGTCAAATATGGACTTCGTCAGCAGTAAACCATTCACGTCGGAGCAAGACGCGAAGGCAATTTACATATCTCCAGAGGGAGATCGTTTGCAGGCACGCATCCACACACACACATTTAATTAATATTGGTCATTTGTTCATTCAGATATTGATAGTTAACAAACTCGGTGTCTACATATAGATAAGCTTCAGATTAAATTAAATGCAACCAAAGTACGTTTTGAGATTAAAGATGATAATTTCCGTCCCAGTCTGCCCAGAAATAGCCTGAAATTCATCCAAAAGTTCCTTTTCAGAATGGAAGAATGAGTGCATTGTAATGGCATCAATGCTACCTTGGGTATCAGGAGCATGTAGTATTTGACCTGAAATAAAACAAAGTTACGTATGTGACAGTGAATAAAAAAATCAATGTTAGAAGAGACATCAAGATTAATCACAAAGCTATTGCTTTTTTGAAGTGTAAAACTTTATCCTTTGAACAATGGTATGATGACAAGTTTCTAAAAGCTGCCAAAAGTGCAACATATTGAGATGATGTGAAACTGTAAACTTTGCATCCTAGTGAAAATGATCTGTAGATTTAAATAATTATTATCATGGATTGTACTCTCTGTGAGTGAATAAAAGATATTTAATGATACTGTTTTTTGTTTTATATTACTGGGGGTTTTTTTTCCAACGCTCCTGATTTTATGAAAGCTAGGGTTGGCAACTATGTGGTTATACCAATGAGAGTGGCTGTTGAAATTCAATGAACTGTCATTAAGTTTTCAGAGTACTCATAAAACTTAGTTCAAAAGCTCTCAGCACTCTTACGACTTTTAGAATCCCATGTTACTATTGGTGTCAGCACAGTTTCTGCATTGGTCATTTCCAGAAATGTTTGGGAGAGAAAGCCAACACTAATAGTGTCCTCTTGTTTGGTGAAGACAATGGCATCTCTACCGAGTCTCATGCTGCCCGACTTGAAACCGTTGCCATAATGACCTACAGGTTTGTGGCCTTTGATTTCTACTTTCTCACAAAAACCAAATCTAAATATAAGAGAAGGAAAAAGACTTGTTAATAAAGGGAAATATTATTTGAAAATTTCCATAAAATATAGCAAGGTTATAAAAGACTTAACTTGTTAGAATCAATTTATGTTATGCACTTTAAAGACCTGTGTGAACATTAGTTTTCCCAGGATGTTCAAACACCACACAATGCGATAATCTAAATTAACTCAATTCAAGAGAAGAAAATACGCACGAAAGCATTTTGTGTAATTTGTCAGGATTCATGCCATTTCCATTGTCAATAAAAATGAGGCAGTCTTTTTGGCCTATTATTCTCTTGTCTATCCGCAACTGTGAGGCATTGCAGTCTGGATCATAAGCATTATCTGCAGATAGAAGATGACAATTTCATTTCAAGGGGGTATTTAATTACATGTTGCAATTCTAAGCTTATGGCACTGAAAACCAATATAATCTTTGTGAGCAAAGTTGGATGTTTTTTCTTCTGATTTTCTTTGGCAGCTTAAATAAGACTCACACAACAAATATAACATATGGCACTTGTACTGTACTTTCTATTTTAAAATGGATTTGACACACAAAACACACAAGCAAACTTTATTCAAACATTGTGACTGTAAATAATTTTGCATTAATTCTCTTATTCAGTGTACCTATAAGCTCAGCTATAGCTGAAAATATCCAGGTGTGGCTTGTGGAGTTTGCATGTAAAAAACTTGGGCTTGTCTGAAACAATGAACAAAATGGAATTGGCATAGGTTTATCTTATTGTTTATCCCCCCACAGCATATGATGTGAAGCTGTTTTAAATATGATATATTGAACAGGGTCACATCTTTGCCCCACCACATCATCATTCCCCACATCATTACTTCCTCTAGTAAAATTATGATATCACATGCACCAATGGGCACTTCTTTCATTATACCTCCCCATGCCCATCATTACTCCCTCTCATCAAAATAAAAGGAATTTAAACTAGTGTACACTTGAGTGTATAAATTTAACCAACCATTAGGAATATTTAACAACTGGTTAGTGCTAAACGTCCTTTATAAAATGGGGCCCAGAAGTTTACGGATAACTGTTTTTGTGGCCCTTGTGAATGTGTTTCCTGTCGAAAGAACACAGTAGGGTAGAAGACTACATCCTAGCATGTCACTGTTACCGAAAAAAAAAAAAAACAAAATGGCCGCCAAAACATAGGGTAGAGGCAGAGGGTGAAGAAAAGCAGGAAAATCAGCATATTTCTGGTATTATCAGTCTAATTAACAGCATCTTCTTCTATGATTTTTTCGTTCGAGATTTTTCATTAGCCATTATCGTACACTACCATTATCTGCTTGTTAAATATTCTTCTTATGTGTGGCGAGGGGGTAAGCCCTCCAAGAAGTCAAGTTGCCACTCCAATTGGTCCCAAAGTTAAACAATGCTAGTTTGTTTTCTGTAATTTTTTATAAAAGAATTGTATTCTTTTGGGTTAGAAAAGTCAACTTAGCTTGGCTTTATTAACTTCTGGGACATTGAGCACTTTTCGTAACCAGAAAAGGCTGCCAATTTTTATGTAAAAGGAAATAAATAATCATAGCGATTTACATCAAATTATATAGAGTGCGTGTATATTCTTCATTTAAAAGTCTATTTGAATGTTTACAAATACAGAGGTGGTGTGTATGAATAATTTCTTGCACTTATCTGCAAGTCATTTTTAATAGAAATAGCACAACGGCCACCAAAACGGTACAGAAAAGACAGGTAAAAGATGGTAAATTTAAGTTTTTTGTTTTAAACTAATAATATCTGCATATACATTGTATGTCAGTAAAATAATACGCCTGTGGTCAACTCGGGCAACATAATGAAACAGATTGGTTGACTAGATGTTACAAAAAGATAAGGAAATATGTTCGTCAAATTTCTTCTTCGGTTAAGCAGTCCGTCATCTCAGATATGTCAGCAGTAACCCCTCAATGTTTGAAAAAAAATAAGGCTACTGACCAATGCGAGGCATTTCCAACTTTGGTTAGATTTTTGATTAGGCCTTTTTCAGTGAACCGTCCAGCCGTCATTTGGATGTCTGCCTGAAAGCTAAAAGCTATCAGACCTTCAAGCAGCACCTGACAGCGCTGACAGAGGAGAAGGCAATTTTCATAGGTCAAGAAGGGACTTCGTCAGTGGTAGACCACTCGCGATCATGCAATATGCGAAGGCAATTTACATATCTCCTGAGGGAGATCGTTTGCGATCAGAGTGAGACGAGAAAGATATTTTCATATTCGTTCAAGGGATTTTGTTCGCGGAAGACTGGCAGTGGATGATCGTTACCTATCCAACCGATACGCCAAGACAATTTTCATATTCGCGGTCAAATATGGACTTCGTCAGCAGTAAACCATTCACGTCGGAGCAAGACGCAAAGGCAATTTACATATCTCCAGAGGGAGATCGTTTGGGATCCGAGCGAGACTAGAAAGAAATTTTCATGTTCGTTCAAGGGACTTTGTTCGCAGTAGACTGGCAGTGGATGATCATTACCTATCCAACCAAGACGCCAAAGCAATTTTCATACCTTCAGCGGGAGGGCGCTTTCGATCCGAGGGAGACCAGAAAGCAATTTTCATATCCATTAGCAGCAGATCGTCAGCGGAAGATGACATCTTTTCCTTCTACCTTTGGTGGGTTAAGGGGGCATTACAATAGCAAAGACGTTTAAAACTATTGTAATTCACAGGCACAAATTTGAAGTTGTGCCTCTTTATTCTGACCACAGGCAAATTTCACATTTGTTCAAGGGCCGCATTAGTGGACGATCGTCAGTACGAGACCCTGTGGTTTGGTTGCGTTCATTAGTGACTGAGTGAAATATGCTAATATCTAGCCCTGCAAAAGCAAAATTTATTAATGTGGCTGAGATGGTAACAACTGACTACTGAATGTTAATTTTGCATTAAAATCCACGTGCTCTAGCAGTTCAGACTGCCACCAAATAGAAACTACCAAAATAAGTCCGTAATTAATTATTTTAGATTTTTTTATACCCCCTTCTTAAAAAATAATTATTTCTTTTTTTTATTATTGCATTCTTTTTTATTTTTGAATGTCAAACAAGCTGATAATGATAGGTAAGGATCATAGCCACTTAAAAATCAAAATGAACAGATAAATCGAAGGCGTTTTAATTAAACTAATTATACCAGTAATAGACTGATCTTACTGCTATGCATCATCCTCTGCTGTATGCGTTGACGGCCATTTTGGTTTTTCAATACACAAAAAAAGAAACGTGCAAGTATGCAGTCAATTATCCTACTGTGATTTTACGACAGGGAATGCATTGACAAGAGCCACAAATAAAGTACATCTGTCGACTTTTGGTTGTTTTTCTATTTTTCCTCAATAATTGATGGCCATATTGAAAATGCTCAAAGTCTCGGAAGTAGAAACCAAGCCAACTTAACCATTCCAGCCCTAAAGGATGCATTTCTGTACTGAATGTTTACAGGGTTCGATTATTTGGCATATAGGAGTGAGTGGATATTCGTCATTTTGTATCGACATTTTGTATCACTTAGTGACGTCATCATAATGTCATCATTAATTGCTGTAATAGATGTGCACAGTAAGTGTACGTTTCTCAAATTTATTCATATTATCATAATTAACGCAGGTAGTGCTCATTTACGTGAGTTCTGGATGTACAAAAAAAAAAAAGCTGAGTCAGCATATTTTAAGAAAGCCGCTCATCCGGGTACTTATGAATTTGTCAATTTCACCAACTTGTTTATTTCAAACAACACACTTTCGCACATGCGCAGTCATTTGAATCCTGTGCTCCCCTTTTTAGTAAACTGATACCACTTACAAGCCATTCCAACTTGGGTTCAGAGTTCGGGGACGTACCGATAAAATTTTGTCCCAAAATATTACACGTCCCTATACTCCTGTTACCGATAGATACATAAAGGAAAAACTGAAAAAACGTCTTTTTAGATTTAAATACCGATAGATACGATTTTTTACCACCGTCCTATATATTTGCGTTCCTATAGATACATGTACGACGTCCACATAAACCACCGTTTAGTTTATTTAATGTCGGAAAGAAACATTACAAACATTAGTTTAGTAGCTATTCACCGACATAATAAATCCGATAATGACACAATGTTTACTAATTCTATTTCTGTTGATTGAAATTACAACAGGATGTTTATTATTGTTCATTATTCCCTCGATATCCGAAGTTATTTCATTCATTTCCTCGGTTTAAATTGTCCAAATGTTATATCCAGTGTATTTTCTTGCAAACAAAATTCATGCATACATTGTGTGAAAGGAAAAGGCTACATTTACCTTTGATAGACGAACCCCTTTCTCCATCGCAATTCCTTCAAAAGGGACTTTGCCCCTACATGGTGACCTACATTTGGGTACAAAACGCATGTAGTCCCAAAACGAAGTCTGAGCAAACTTACCGCCAAATTTGAAAGTGAACACCGTCCAGAACTTCACAAGACAGAATTTATTTACCCTCTACCAGGGCCGCAGTTATTATTGTGTAGTTATTATTATCACAGTGCAGGGATTAGCCATCTATTTAGCCAGAGACATATCCGTTAATATCTGGTAAAAAAATCTGTGGCCCTGGTAGAGGGTTGAATTTATTCACATAACAGGCTGACTACTGAATATTTATTTGGTTAAAAATATACTTGCTCTAAGACCGTTCCTAAAATATAAACTATACACAAGTACTGGGTACAACAGCCAGATTGGACCAAATGAACTGAATATATCTAGTTCGTTGTCAAGGCAACATACTGCCTGTCAATCAAATACGTTGTATGCTATCTACTTCGAAGTTAGAAAGTGAAATTTTTGGGACTGAAGATTTTGTTGAAATGTTGTTTAATTGCCAAAATAAAACCTGAAATTTTGTAAGACGTTTCATTTAATGACTCTACCATCACCTATGTTCTTTATAGTTCAAAATTTAGTGCTGGGATTTGATAAATTAGCAGTGCTGTCATATACCAGTGTGATATTGATGTAAAGAAGAAATTAGTAATAACAAATTTGAGAATTTAAATAAAAAAGAAGGGGAGCTTTTTTAGACTGATTTTATTCATCCACCTCCCACTCAGGGTTTTTTTTTTTTTTTTTTTTTTTTTAAAGCTTTGGTTGGACTTCTCTCATCTCCCACGCAAGTCCTTACGAAATTTCGAGTTTGCCGACAGCACGTAAGCACGTACGGAGAATATTGGACATGTCCAAAAGATTCTACGAATAATCTGCCAACAGCTAGGCCGCAAGCATGACTTGCTCACCTAGAAAGGAGTTCACAAGGAGTTCGCAAGTGAGACGTGTGTGGTCCAAGACGCACGTCGCAAACAATGAAAGAGCAAGTACCTTTTCAGTGTTGAGTATGGCGCACGCTCTCACAGCTAACGAACAAAGTCGAAATTAAACCGGGTGTGACATGAAAATCTGACTCCCCCAGTCAGATTTTCATAATGAAAATCTGACTCCCCCCNCTATCTATTTAATATTTGATGATCATTTCAACACCTTTCCTGAACTTTTACTATACAAAGATTATATTGGAAATATTTAAAAGTTTGATGGTAAAATATTGGGTGAAAAAGCAAAAAAAAAAAAAAAAATGAAAAATAAGAAAATTAAAAATGTGCATTTTATCACCCATTGACTCCCCAATGAAAAAACTATCTATTTTATATTTGATGATCATTTCAACACCTTTCCTATAAGAATACTTTATGAAAAATATATTGGAAATATTTAAAAGTTTGATGATAAAATAGTGAGTGAAAGAATGAAAAAGAAATCATGAAAATCTTCATTTTTATACCCATGAGATTTGGACTCCCATGAAGATAAGGACCTATTTTATATTCAGTAAACATACCATTGTTTTCCACATAGTTTGCGTAGAGATGTATATTTTGTTATTATTTGAAAGTTTGATGGTGAAAATTTTGGTGAATCTTTTTAAAAGAAGTATCCATCTTACTTCCTGTAGGTTTTGCACTCCCATGTCAAAACGCTACATTTTTAACTCAAGAAATTGGCCCCATTGCCTTTTTATTTAATTCTTCATATATAGCATACCAAACTAAACACTTGCTGTTGTTTTTCCCATTATTTTCCCCAAAGCTGAATGAAAAAGTTTTGTGGAGGGGGAGTCAAATTTTCATGGGGGAGTCAGATTTTCATTTCACATTTTTAATTTTCTTATTTTTTCATGAAAATTTTCACCTGCAAACTACAAAAAGTGCCAATGTATCCTCCTTTTTACATACTACAAGATCACAGTCATATACTCAAATAAAAAGAGATTAATGAATGTTTTTTTTTTTTCTTTTGGGGGGGGGGAGTCAAAATTTCATAGGGGGAGTCGCATTTTCATTATGAAAATCTGACTGGGGAGTCACATTTTCATAATGAAAATCTGACTGGGAGTCACATTTTAGGGGAGTCAGATTTTCATGGTACACCGGGAATGCGTCGCACATGCATCATCCCCCCACATGATTATTGTTCAACGTGTACAATAATTTTCAGGAATTTCAAAGTTTGCTCAATATATTCATCTTTAATATGCCTTCAAAAGGCAAGAGAAAGAAAATTTGAGAGCAGAAAAGAAAGGAGGAGGAAAAGGAAAGAAAGGGAGAACAGGAGGCAAAATTGACGTACGCCGCTAACTACGTCATCACAAACGTGTGAGGCAAGTGTGAAGCAAAATTGATGCAAAAGGGAAGTACTTTCGGCGTGCGTTGCATTTTCTTCATAAGTGGTGAGTGCGTGCCACGTACGCAGGCCGCAAAACAAACCCAATGAATGAGTACAATTTCCACGGCCTGCAAATAGCGGCCCTCTTACGTGGCCCCTGCGTCTCGCAAGGCAGACTTGCGCCTTTCCATTCAAACCTTTCTTTTTCCTCTACGAACTCCACGGCCTCCGCTGCACCCAAAATTCGTAGGGGACGTACGATCCTAAAATTCGTGCGTCCAGTTGTGACCGAGGCTTTACCGTGGAGTATCTTTGGTGGTTTTTCGGTACCATCATGGAGTTAAAAAATAATGGGATAAAAATGGATCCATTCCTGTGGGTACGCAATAGATGTTTCCAGAAAAACTGAGGGATTGCAGTGTGTCCGCTATGATGAGCAGGAACAAAATGGAGACTAGTGATGTTATCGTTAAAAAAAAAAAAAAACCCTCGCTGACCTGTTTCTGAACTTAAGGAAAAAAAAGCACTACTCCATCTTTTTTTTGTGGAAAAAATTGGTCTGAGAACCAAGTAATTATTATTATTTTTTTTTTTTATTATTTTATTTATTTTTTTTTTTTGGGGGGGGGGGGCTTATCCACAATAATTGCCCATCAAAATGGAAGGCTTGTGAATAATTGGAATATTAAATTAATTTTTGCGCTATCTTCGATTATCAATTTAAATTTACATTCAAATTTACTTATTAAGTAACAAATTAAACTTAAATTCAACTTTTCCATTATATAATAATTATTATAAAAATATAAATATAATAATTATGATTTCATTGCCAACCATCTGCAATTAACAATCCAACAAAATATTTTTAAATATTTTTATATTTCATATAAAGCAAATAAGAACGAGGCACTAAATGTAACTAATTGAACTGTATCACATCAATTTAACTTGGGCAAAATAGATAAAAGAAAATTTGGTCAGCCTTGGGAAATTTGTTTGGGGGAAAGGGAGGGTCACATTTTGTTCACTGTGATCTATATTTTAATTCTTTTACCAAATTCAGAAACAAATTTCATCAACTGTGTTAACAGAAATGATGGTGCAATCCTCCCTGACCTCTGCCTCCCTTTTCAATAGGTGTGTGTGTGTGTGGGAGGGGGGGGGGACAAGTACATTTCTTGAATAGAGGCTATTCACCTGGATAGCCTCATTCCCTGATGAAGATGTTCTGCTAGACATCGAATTATTGGAGGCAAAAAACTATTTAATATTAAGCTGTTGACTGAAGAAAAATTACTTCATTCTTTGTATCAAATTCAAATTTATGAGGTCTTCATGCCAGATACATGCTTTTGTCTCCAAAAGGCCTGTTTTTACATTTTTGGAATTTTCATCGTATTTGCTGGTGCTAAAGGTAACTCAGATTGTAACTGTGGACAAGTTGTTGGCAAAAGTGAAATTAGATTTGTTTTTATGCTTAATAAAAATATATTGACAACAGCTGTTTTTTTTTACTCATTCCTTTTATAGAATATATAGTTGTTTATATTTTACCACATATATATGCAGTTCTTTTTTTAAAGCATATAAAAGTAAAAGTCTATTTATGTTTAGCAGAAAATTATTACTAAATGTATTTTGCTGAAGTAAGAAAATGAAGTTATAATCTTACTTATGGGTAATATAAATTTAATGTTCAGGGTCCAATTTGTTTTCTCTGTTTTGCTTAAGAAAAACAAAAAAGTAAAAATAAGGCTCAAAAACAATGAACACAAAAAAAACTAGAGGATCAGAGAGGCAATACCGCCTCCGGATATAGTACCACCAGCTGGAGCAAGCGCATTCATTTAGACCCCCCCCCCCAAAAAAAAAAAAGAGACACCACCACCAGTCTTATGCTTGACAAGCTCTATAAAATGCAATCAACAAGAATTCTCAAAATATGCAAAAAAAAAAATATATATATATATATAAATATATATATATATAAATATATATATATATATATGTATAACCAAAAATGGTACAAGCAAAATTCAGTTCATCATAAAAAGTAGGTCAAAGGTCAATTTTAAGGTCACAGTAAATTGCCAGTACATGACTTCCTATTCATGTTCAATAGTATCTATGGATCTATCTCTGCCAGTTTTGGAGATAAAAGGAAACCAAATTTTACAAAGTTCAATTCATGATAAAAAGTAGGTCAAAGGTCAATTTCAAGGTCACACTTAGATTGCCAGTATATGACTTCCTATTCAAGTGCAATAGTAACTTTGGACCTATCTCTGCCAGTTTTGGAGATAAAAGGGGAAAAAAAAATTTGCAAAGTTCAAATCAGGATGAAAATTAGGTCAAAGGTCAATTTCAAGGTCACACTTAGATTGTCAGCATATGACTTCCTATTCAACTTCAATAGTAACTATTGACCTATCTCTGCCAGTTTTGGAGATATAAGGGACTAAATGTTACAATTCTGGAGTTACAATAATGTGCCATAAATTTCCTACAGAAAAAAATTATTAAAAAGAAATGGTCATTTTGGTTGAAATTCTTGAAACGGGAGGTTGTCAGAAGTTCCAGATGTTCAAATTTCATGAAATAATATCATTTTTTACCAGAAGTTGTCTGCCTCGCCAAGCCTTATGTTTTATTTTCCTGGGGTTCAAAATTTATAATCCATTACCATACTGCACATTTTGCTTTCACCACCACAATGTACTTTTTAATACAGCATAACACGAAAAACCGTATGGAATACAAAAAAACGGAGACCACCTCCAGTGTTGGGCTTTACATGCTCTACAAAATGCAAAAAAGAACGGGTCTCTAGCATTAACGGTTCCCGAATTTGAGACAGTTTCCAGTTTCGGTATCTTATGGCCGCTACTCCCGTGAAAATGCACTGATTGACCCCAAATTCATGGAGATGAAAGATGACCCGAAGGGTAACACTTTCCAATAATATTATTGGTTACGTCTGTGTAGTTTCTGAATATCAGCCCAAATAAATTTTTTTTCTTAAAAAAATTTCGTTTTTTTGAAAATTTTGGCCCATTTGACCTTGAAGCAAAGGTCAAAGATCAAATCCAAGGGCATATTTGAAATCTCCACATATGACTTTCGGTCAGCCGTCTGTAGAAAATTTTCCCATAATTCCTTCAGTAGGGTAGATAATTGGCATTGAATTTTCAAAAATTTTGACAAGGGTGCATTTCAACAAGCGTCACGCCCAGGTCAATGCACGGACTGAGACAAAAAAACCTGGGGGTTCAAGTTGAGGTTATATGTGACCTAAATCCAAGAGATGGGGACAGGGGTCCTTGCGGTCTAGGAGGAGAAGCGGTAACGGTGACTTGTATCCGGCGCCAGTACGCGGAGCCGGCGGAGCCGGACGAGACGGGTCGGGACTAAAACCATGAGTACCGCCAGCGTACACGCTGGTGGTACTAAATAGTCTTAGACTCCATAGTGCTATATGTAAGAGTGTGAACCTTTTTTAGTCCATGATTTTAACATCCAGCTTCCATCTTTCTCATTTTCTTCCACACTAGATGTAAGAATGGTACTATACATCTAAGCTTTCAAGAAGTCAAAAGTACAGCAGTAAACATTTGTCTTTTGTAGCCCTAGTTTTCCTACTGTGTCATTCACAATGAATATAAATCAGTCTGGTCACAATGCACAGATTTAAGCCATAAGTTATTGCTTTCAGAGATACATTTTTTTCTTCTATTTAAGAAAAAATCAGCAACTGATATTGCATGAAAAACATGTATGGTTTGCATCCCTGCAACTTATAACAATCTAACAAAGGCTTCTAAAAGCAAGAGGATGACACAATTCTCACCAGAGCAGAAAATCAACTACATGCATGAGTGCTTTCCCCTCAAAACAAAAAACATGCATTTTTTGCAACTAGCAAAAAATGATACAACACACTAAAAGTGTTTTCTTGTAACCCTGAGATATTTGCTAGTATTTCTCACAAATAAATATTGAAATACAAATTGGTTCATGTTGGAGTAAAGTTAATTTTAGCACAGATTCAGGTATACACATTCTTTGACATACAACTTTTTAACTTGTGTTGCCATCAATTCTTGGCCAAATGGTAGGTCCGTACTAGAAATATTTTATGAATTCATGGTTTTATATTGTATTAAACAGATAAATGAGCAGTCTTTTTAATCAGTCAAAAGACCCTATAGATGCATCTCACTGAGCTATTATAGGTACTTTAAACTAAATGTTTATACTTTCAATAACATTGCTGAAATAGTGTATACGAACAGCTGCTCATATATACATACCTATAATTGAAAAGAAATATAACTGAAAAATACTAAATAAGCACCAAAATAGGAGCAAAGGCATTCATTTACTATAAGTACAAAATTTTAATTTAAAAAAAATACAATGTTGCTAACTAATTGCAGCTTATTTTGGCACAACTGCAGTTCTGTAACTTCAACAGAACTGTATTGATAAAAACCAACATAGTTTTGGATAGAGCCTGTGCAAGATTTTCGAATGTACCCACATGTTCAAGTCAAAAGAAAAGGATAAATTTTCAAAATAAGGACCATTTTCAAACATGACTTGCTTAATTTGAAATTAAAAAAAAGTTATCCATTTTCTACATATCCTGGTAATAATATAGCAAAATGCAAGCTAAAATAAGATGTTTTTTCAAAAAATGCTCCTACTAGGTTCATTTTCGAAGTAAAGAGTATTTTAGTCCTGGTTAGTACTGCAAGTCTGAAGAAATAAGTGACTCTTTGACCAAATTAACTTGATGACAAGTAACTGCATGGTGATGATTTCAGTGACAGGAACTGACTAGTCGGTATCAGCTGATTAAAATAAAGTCAAACTTCCTCCACTTGCCCCATGCGATTTTGTTTATTCAGATCATCAACAATAGCATCCACTTGATGCAGGTTATCTGAGTCTATCTTTACATCTGCGCTTAAGAAATTGAGCAACTCTGCAACATTCCTTCTAAGGTTATGTAAATCCCGTTTTAAATTTTCATTTTCTTCCAGATAACCTGATCCCAATTCAGTTGGATTTTGTGCACCATTTGAGCTAGCATATGTTGTAGTAACACCTGTTTGATTATTTAGCTCCTCTAAACATGGCTTAACATCTTGAGGTTCCCGTTTTATTTGAGAAATCTTGGAAACTGGTAAATCATCTTCATCATCAGAAGTTATAATAATGACATCAGAATCTTCACCTTCATGACGTTTCCTTTTACTGGGTCTTCTAGCAGGTGCTTTGGAAGTAATGTTTACACCATCTGTTATTTCTTCATCACTTGACTCATTCCTTGTAACAATATAATCATCTCCAATATCTTCAACTGTTACATTACCACTTAATCTGGGTTTTCTGTTGTTTTGTGAGCTAAAAAAAGTTAAATTCAGATTGTTAATTTCATAATTATCATATGCCTCACTCAAAAAAATCAAAGATTTGCCAAAAAAAAAATCAAAGTTCTGCCAGGAAAGACAATCTGTCAGCTTCAGTTATGAAATCAATATTTCAGTTTTACCACAAATATACTTTACTGACGGTCTAATTAGCATTATCACTTGAAAGAAACAGTAACATAACAATGTTCTGTAGGCTTCACTTGTTGCCTGCCAGCATTACCTAGAGGATACACTGGGTTGGTCACTGGTGCTGGCAAGTAATGCCTGGAACACAATTAAAAACAGATCTAAACTAGAGGATCAGAGAGGCGATACCGCCTCCGAATATTGTACCACCAGCTGGAGCAAGCGCATTCGTATAGACCCCCACATACACAAAATAAGGGACACAGCCACCAGTCTTGTGCTTGACAAGCTGTAAACATGCAATCAACAAGAATTTTCAATATATGCAAAAAATATATGAAACTAAAAATGGTACAATCAAATTTAAGTTCATCGTAAGGTAGGTGAAAGGTCATTTTCAAGGTCACAGTAAATTGCCAGTATATGACTTCCTATTCAAGTTCAATAGTAACTATGGACCTATCTCTGCCAGTTTTGGAGATAAAAGGGAAGCAAAATTTGCAAAGTTCAGTTCATGGTGAAAAGTAGGTCAAAGGTCAATTTCAAGGTCACATTTAGATTGCCAGTATATGACTTCCTATTCAACTTCAATAGTAACTATGGACCTATCTCTGCCAGTTTTGGAGATAAAAGGGAAGCAAAATTTGCAAAGTTCAGTTCATGGTGAAAAGTAGGTCAAAGGTCAATTTCAAGGTCACAGTAAGATTGCCAGTATATGACTTCCTATTCAAGTTCAATAGTAACTATGGACCTATCTCTGCCAGTTTTGGAGATATAAGGGACTAAATGTTATAATTTTGGAGTTACCATAATGTGCCATAAATTTCCTACAGAAAAGATTAATTAAAATAAAGAAAACATCATTTTGGTCAAAATTCTTAAAATAGGAGGTGCTCTGAAGTTCCAGAAGTTCAAATTTGATGAAATAATGTCATTTTTGACCACAAGTTGTCTGCTTTGCCAAGCCTTATGTATTATTTTTCCAGAGTTCAAAATTTATTATCCATTACCGTACTGCACATTTTGCTTTCACCACCAATATGTACTTTTTGATACAGCGTAACTTGAAAACCGTATGGAATACAAAAAAACGGAGACCACCTCCAGTGTTGGGCTTTACATGCTCTACAAAATGCAAAAAAGAATGGGTCTCTAGCATTAACGGTTCCCGAATTAGAGACAGTTTTCAGTTTCGGTACTTTATGGCCGCTACTCCCGTGAAAATGCACTGATTGACCCCAAATTCACGGAGATGAAAGATGACCCGAAGGGTAACACTTTCCAATAATATCATTGGTAAAGTCTATGTGGTGTCTGAATAACAGGGAAAAAAAATTTTTTTTCGTAAAAAATTTCATTTTTTTGAAAATTTTGGCCCGTTTGACCTTGAAATAAAGGTCAAAGGTCAAATCCAAGGGCATATTTGAAATCTACACATATGACTTTTGGAAAGCTGTCTGTAGAAATTTTTCCCATAACTCCTTCCGTAGGGTAGATAATTAGCATTTAATTTTGCCATTTTTAGACAAGGGTGCATTGCAATGAGTGCCACACCTAGACCCCAATACCGACAAAGCCCAAATTTTACGTGGAACGAGTTGAGATTATAGGTGACCTAAATCCAAGAGATGGGTACAGGGGCCCTTACCGTCTAGGAGGAGAAGCGGTAACGGTGACTTGGTGGCGGAGCCGCAGGAGCCGGCGGAGCCACAGGAGCCGGCGGAGCCGCAGGAGCCGGCGGAACATACGGGTTGGGACTAAAACCATGGGTACCGCCAGCGCCTACGCTGGTGGTACAATAAATACCACAATGGAATAAAGGTGTCCTTTGGATTTTTTGATAACACATTGGTAACTTATAACTATATCTGATACACAAGACTTGGAAAAGAAAGTGACACATCTGAACAATAAATATTTCACTGAAACTTCACAATCTATTCACCTTAGTATGGATTGGTATATTTAAATCACCCTAATATCATGGACACCTTTATAAATGCATTATAACAAAATCATCAAACAAAACTTGATTCAAAATCCATCACAATATGGAGCTTTCCTACCTCACTTTGACTTGTCAAAATTTTCAACTGCCGAGCTTCTTGCATCAGCTTCTTCTGCTTCATTTCAACCTCCTTATTCTGCCTCATTAATTTCATGATAACTTCTTCCTGTTCTTCCTCTCTCCGCTTAGCTTCCATGAGCTGACGTTTAGCCCTCTCTAGCTCTTTAATGGATGGCTTAGGCTCCTTATCCTGAGAGCTAGATACCTAGATGTATTAGTCAACATTCAAATATTTAATTGATATTTACATATAAATAAAAGCATTTTCATTTAAAAACATCTGGACATGCATGTGGTTTCCATAATGTTTTGTCGTCTTAAATTATTTTTCTGCATAACATTGATAAATGAAACTCAACTTGTATACCATTTCAGTGTTATTATACCTCATTGTTCCTAAGTAAGATCTGAGACTGCAGTGTCTGCAGTTGATGTTCTCTCATCTGCAGCAATCTTTCCCTACTTTGTAATTCTCGTATCTGCAGAAAAAAGTTAATTCATTTCATTCATGTATATGTATATGCATATTCACTTTCCTACATACTTCAAGATATCAATATTTGTCATAATTTCAACATTCGAAAAGCACGTATAAATCTGCACATGTTGAACATAGACACCTCTTTATACACCACGTTTATTTAGTTTTGTTCATGAGGCTTTCCTAGTAATCAGTCAAACTACGCATTTTTAGGCACAAGTTCAACTCGTTATCTTTATTTGTTAATAAACTAATGCATATCTGAGATATTTGCCATATGCAACACTCAAAACTGTGAGGAAAAATGTCTACCTGCTGAACATGCTGTGGTGGTTGATATGAATGTATCTTTAATTTTCTGAAAAATAAAAATTTACATTTGATTGTTAGACATGAACTCAATTCCTGTCAAATAACATCAACTTAGATTTTAGTTTCTGATACTGAAGGCATGTGGCACTGAATTCACAGGGCCTGATCTTAAATATACCAACATTATTTATTCAGTAATCTTCCAAACTGATTCTCCATGCTGTTTACAATACACACTCTCAAAGAAGAAAGTGAAATCAATCTTTTCATAGAAGAAAAGAGTATCCAATGATTTGCAATTAAAATATATCACTGATACTTTTTCCAGTGATAAGATATTTAATGTAAGGTATTAACATAATCATACTGTTGTTTCTTATAGGTCTTTGCATAGGAAGCCCTCAAAACATCATCCTCATCCTCGGGTTCTTCTTCAATGTCACAGCGACTTAAATAAAATATACAGATATATGTTAAGTCTTTGATATGACTATGCACCTTACTGTTATACCAGCATGTTCCCAGTTCCTGGCATAATAACATTTCATGCACAACAAAAATTAGGCTCATTAAGTTCTACACTGACTAACATTTTCTAGAAATGCTTCTGCAGCAGCACTTACATTGCGAACTCAAGCTGAAATCAGGCATATCACATTTTATGACACTTGTTTGCTATTCTGTTATTATAAAATACTGACTTGTGTGTTGGGTCTGGGTTAAGGTAGCAGTACCACTTGTCTGGCAGATTACTGTCATCAGCGCCATCTGGTAACCGTCTCCACTTCAAACATTTAGGATTGTCACATTGAACCCATGTCCAATCTGGTTTTTGACTGAGGAATAAATACAAATCAAGCAATAGGCTACATTTCATTTCAAACAACAGAAGTTTTATTAAAATTTCCTTCATATCTATTTGAAAATCTATTAAGAGAAAATATGTTACACCTAATTGTCCTAACATGTTCACTTTTCATACATAATTCTTGGTCTGCCAGACTTTCCTAGTTGTAATTTTGGCCTGTAGTTGGACCCAACCACGCTAATTCATGAACAAAACTAGAGGATCAGAGAGGCGATACTGCCCCCAGATATTGTACCACCAGCTGGGGTAAGCGCATTCGTATGGAAAACCCAAACAAGGCAGCAAAGCTGTCAAATGTACAGACAAAAACAAAATAAAAATGCAGAAAATGGGTCATTTTGTCAATTTTGATGCAATAATAAATAATGCCTTTAATAGCACTGTCAATCAACACTGAATTTAAATCATGCACAACAGGTAACATGGTCAATAACAGGAGCAGATCCAGAGGTATTTTCTGGCAGTATTCTAAATTATCTTTGTTGATCCATCCTCCATTTTTGATGGTCTTCCAACAGAAAAAAAAAAAACAGATACCCATCAATGTAAAATTTAAAATCTGACCATCTTCTGCAAGACCCAGAAGACGGCCTCAATCCGCTCCTGCAATAAGATTACAGTTTCAGGACAATGAGAGTTCAAATTCACATAATGAAAATCCCAATATTTGAAAAATGATGACAGTGCATAAAATAATATTACATAATGTTTACAGACATAAAAACCAATGCAACTGATAAATGTGGAAATACAGAAAATGTGAAGAGCTTCAGGTGGATGGGAACTGAAAATGCCAGTGTTTGAAAAAAAATTTAAAAGGAAAACACAACAAAAATATTCCAATAAAGCTGCTATTCAAACTTTTAATCTTGCTGTATTAACATGATATGAATAACCCCAATGTGTTTGAGGATGATACAGCATTAATGTTGGCGTTATACATTTTTTTTTGTAAACTTATTTGCAATATAAAACAACATTTACCTGCATAATTATCACCAATTCCCAATTATGTAACACAGTTAAAGGGATAATAACTCTTCGTATGAGATCTATATTTCACAATAAAAACATTGTGAATAACTCATAGAAATATAATATATTCTGTTTTACCACAAAAACAGCAGTTATAGCTATTATTCTGATATCTGAGCTTTAAGAGATCATTAAGAGATTTTAACAAAAAACCAAACTTTTAAGAAAAAAACCAGGGACTAACTTTGAATGTAAAAATGGATTCATTAACCATTGGTAAGTATGGGAAAATTGTTGTTTACTCCAGGAAAATTCATTTTTTGGCCGAAACGAAGAGTTATTATCCCTTTAAGAGAGCTTAACCTATGGGGCTTTACTGGAAAATCTCACGTGTGTTTTATGTAATCCTATTTAATGGGCACTTGGAAATTAATTAAGGCAAGTGATTTTATAGCTCTGGATTTAGCTTGTGACTACCCCAAGGGACAATTACCACCATCCATAAAAAGTAGCCCCACATAGCACTCTATAGAGCTGCATTGCTTCTAAAAAAGAAAAAAATATCACACTGATTTTCCAACACAAACTGCACTTCAGTCTTATGAAACTTTTCAGCAAGTTTGAGTATCATAAGTAACATGGTTTTTCCTTAATGGTCATTCCGGCAGCTATTTCCAAAATAGGGTTTTCTTCAATTTATATGCAATATAACATAATGACCATCAATTTTTAATAATAAAATAAAAGTATCATGGATATTCAGAAAATGTGACATGGAAAGGTCTTCAAGGCCATGGAAGTTCAGAGTCACACCTTCAAAATGCCAAAATGTAAAAGAGATAACTGTACTGAAATGATTTTCTTTCCACTTTCGACACTTTTTTACATGTAACAAAATAATCAATTTAGCGTCATTTTTTAATGAACAACTAAGAAAATTGTTGACATAGGAAAAATATCAATAGAACAATTTTTAATGTCCAGTTTGCCCCATTCTGAGATTCTGAACATGGTGAATGATTGAATCTGACAAACTGTAAAGATATGAGTTTATTTCCATTTTCTGACACTTGATTACACAATACACAATAACAGGTTTACCATCATTTTTATATAATCAACTAACAATATTCTTAAGATGCAGAAAATGTCAAAGGAACACCTTTACATATTTAATTAGTTCACAAATGAGACTATTAACATGCCTAAGAATTAAATCTGAGGAAAAAACACTTATATACAAAAAAGGCATAACTTCACCAAAACTGAACTGATCGAACTTAATCTTTATCTTCATCTGTATTTCAGTAAGACTGATCACCCCTGTGAATTTCAAGACAATTGGCCAATTGATTTTCCTTGAAATGTGTTATCGGTATTGCATATATGCTGAAAAAAGTGAAAAAACAACATAACTTCCATTTGGTCCGATCACGCTGATTTTCAAACTTGACCTGCGTATTTTAAATATTCATCAGTTCTGTAAGTTTCAAACCAAAAGGTAGAACGGTTTTTCACTTATCGTGTTATCGGTGTTGCACATATGCTGAAAAAAATGAAAAAATAGCATAACATACATAAAAATGGCCGGATCATGCTGATTTTTGAACTTGACCTGCGTATTATGAATATTCATCAGTTCTGTAAGTTTCAAGCCAAAAGGTAAAACAGTTTTTCACTTATCGTGTTATCGGTGAAAGTGCACGGCGACGACGACAGACGCAGATGATGGCTATATGTACAGACACATCTGTGTCTGTACATAAAAAGGGACACCATCACCAGTCTCGTGCTTGACAAGCTCCAAAAAATGCAATCAAGATGTCTCACATGCAAAAAAAAAAAAAAATACATGACTAAAATGGTACAATCATGCAGATTTTCGAACTGACCAGTATTTTTCTAACATTGTTCTCTCTTGTGATTTTCTAGACAATAGGCCTATTGGTTATCCTTGAAATGTGTTATCGTTGTTTCATATATGCTGACAAAAGAGAAAACCTAGGGGCAACACTGGGTATATCTCTGCTAGTTTTGAATACATGAGGGGCTAGAAAATATGCAAAGTGCAATTCATGGTGAAAAAGGAGGTCAAAGGTCAATTTCAAGGTCACAGTATATGACTTCCCATTCAAGTTCAATAGTAACCATGGGCATTTCTCTGCCTATTTTGGAGATATAAAGGCCAGAAAACATGCAAAAGGCAGTTCATAATAAAAAGTAGGTCAAAGGTCAATTTAAAGGTCACAGATTGCCAATATATGACTTCCTATTCTAGTTCAACAGTAACTTTGGGTGTACAGTATCTCGATCTGCCAGTTTTTGAGATAAAAGGGATAGAAAAATTTGCAAAATTTATGGTGAAAATTAGGTCAAAGGTCATATCAGGGTCACAGTTAGATTGCCAGTATACGACTTCCTATTCAAGTTCAACAGTAACTTTGGGTGTATCTCTGCCAGTTTTCGAGATATAAGGGAAAGATAATTTGCAAAGTTCAGTTCATGGTAAAAATTAGGTCAAAGGTCAATTTCAAGGTCACAGTTAGATTGCTAACTAAGTTCCATAGTAACTTAGGGCGTATCTCAGTTAATTTTGGAGTATTTCACATTTTATTTTCACTACTGAATATCGGATGTTGAACTTTTTGATGTAGTGCAACGCCTAAGCGGTATTAAAAACAAAAAATGGACACCACCCGCAGTGTTGGGCTTGACAAGCTCTACAAAATGCAAAAAATAGGTCTCTAGCAATAACAGTTCCAGAATTAGAGAGAATTTTCAATTTTGGGATCTAATGGCCGCTACTCGAGTGAAAATGCACCAATTGACCCCAAAGTCATGAAGATGAAAGATGACCCTAAGGGTAACACCTGCCCATGATATTATATGTTAGATCTGTGTGGTTTCTGAAAATCGGCAGAAATAGTTTTTTTTTTCGTAAAAAAATTCCCATTTTTAGAAAATTTTTGCCCATTTGACCTTGAAATAAAGGTCGAAAGTCAAACCCAAGGGCATAATTGGAATCTCCACGTATGACTTTTGGTCAGAACTTCTGTAGTAATTTTTCTCATAATTCCTTCGGTTTGGGAGATATTTAGCATTGAATTTTCAAAAATTTTGACAAGGGTGCGTTTCAACCAGCGTCAAGCCCAGGCCAATGCACAGACTGAGACAAAAATATAGGTGGTTCAAGTTGAGATTATATGTGATCTAAATCCAAGAGATGGGGACACAGGTCCTTGCAGTCTAGGAGGAGAAGCAGTAACGGTGACTTGTATCCCACGACGCCCTGCGGAGCCGGTGGAGCCGTACGAGACGGGTCGGGACTAAAACCATGAGTACCACCAGCGTACACGCTGGCGGTACTAATTAAAGCAAATCTGTCCAATGAAAAAAAATGGCAGTAATATCCATCTTTTTACCATCTGTTGACAGTAGTGTTGTTCCCATCTGCTGGCATTTTCTCATTCCAGTAGTCATCCAACTTCCGACCAAGTGCACTGATACAAGCACTAAAATAATAATTGTTTAAGTGATGATTTCCAATATCAAACACAATTCCTATAAGAAATAATTGCACATTAATATAAAATCAATAGTTACAAACCTTCAATATTTGTACATCCTTACATTTTGTCTTCTTTACATACATTACATTAAAATTTGTATTTTTACACAAATGCACCATTATATCATTTTTCTTCTTGCCTTTTCCACTACATCTATTCAGATTTTTATTGTTGGTCAACGCCTTAAAGAAGACCTAAGGTAATTTAAAATGATTATTAAAATCCACAGGAGCTTATGTAGCATTAAACTACTTACTTGTATCTGTCCGTTTTATTGAAATCTTGCTTATTGTGTATAGGTTCCAAGAAATCTACCTCAGCAACACCAACAACTCCTACACCCAATGAGTTGTTCTACAACAAATAAGAAAGAATTACATCCCTACAGATTGTTCTTCAAACAATTCATTTGCAAGAACCACTAGCTGCCTATGATCCCTTAATCCACAATAATCCAAAGAGTAACCAAAAGTTAAATAGGCAAATAAGGTAAGGAGGAAATTTGCACATTCCCATTACGTTAGTCTGTTATTTATTACGGTAATATGCCAAACAATTCGACCAAGATTAATTAATTAATTTCATGGAAATGTCAGTTTGGTCGAATTGATTAAAATACAGCAAATGGAAACCTTTGATATCGTCGGATTGTTAGGGGCATCTGCCAAAACATCCATCTTTCCGGAAGTATTGCATTTTACCGGAAGTGTTACGCAAGATAAGCCGCAATTTTCGCCCAACATGTGTTTCAGGCATGTTTTATCCTCCTGAAATCTTATTTTGCTGTGTACAATATGTGCTAACATTACTTAACATTAAAAAAGACGACAATTATAATTTTAATTATATATTTCCCTCACCTACGATCACTTTCATGATGCGCTTCACAAGTGGGACGAGTATTTCTCCTGAGACAGGTGTTGTAAACAAAGGCCGGTCACTTATATTTGAAACCGGTAGCTTTAGTGGACTTAAACTAGTTATGTGATCTACGTACGCCCTATTTGAATTTTAATATGACAACTGAAATCAACCGAATTGAAATTTTTTACCAGTCTGAGATCAGTTGTTTTCAACCCGCAAGGCTTGCTCAGCGTCGAGGCGTAGACATACGTACTTTCGAAGAAAATTCAATCACCCGTATCAAAGAATACCAACTGGTTCTCAAACGGAAATCAGTGTAACTTCAAATTACTATTAAGTATTTTATTTAAAAAGCATGTAATATAAAAACATATTGAGAAAAGGCAAAATACGGAGCGTACCTGTGCCGATAGACATACAGTATTTTGCTGGCATTCATCCGATTTTCTTATATACTCTCGCTGTGCACAAACCACGGTGCATATTGAAAACCCCACTGATACAACCCGAACGTAAAAAAAGCATTTACTTGCCATAATTTTCACAAAACAGGTGCATTTATAATTTGACGTGAGAATTGAGCACATGCAGAAATGAGAGACTGGTTTTATCTGGTCTGCTCCAGCATAGCGCAAACCACATGTTAATGAAGACGGTCCCACTTTGGGGGAGGGGGTCACAGGAATGGAGTTCGTCGTGGATTACGCTAAATATTATCAACATTTCATGCATCTGGGGAAATAGAAAGTGACTCACAGGTAACGTAAATACCCAGTGGAACTCTCTATGAAGCTCCCATGGAGTTAAGGAAGACGTCATTTTTATTGTTGACAAATCAGTTATCCATGTAGGTGAACAGCGACACGTGTTCGTCAGATTTTGACAGCGCGTGGTATTTGGCGCCAAGAAGTCTGGGCGGTCGATCCCGCTGATCTTTCGGTCGATTGTAGTAAATGTAAGATCTTGCGGTGTTGACTTCAAGAACGTTTCCCCATCTGCATATATATTTCAATCGAACTTGAAAATAAATTGCTTATTCTTCCCAAACTTTTTATTGCTAGCAAACGCGATATATGGTCTATATGAAGGTGTTTACGACGTATTCTACCCACTGTCGATATTTGGTTTCATCCAGAATAGACCTTTTTTTAACCCCCCCCCCCCCCCCCCAGTTACGGGCGTGATAAATCAGTCAGCGAGGGCAAGTCTGCTTAATAGCAAAATTTGTATGTCTATAAGCACTATTATTGTCATCGGGGACAAAGGAAAAGACAGGTACGTCATGCTTCCAGATTAGATCTTCAATTAATTGTTTCTTCCTCATTGACGAGAGCTATTGAAAGGACAACAATTGACAAAGGGCCGAGGCATGCAGCATCTATTTCACTGGCTTGAAAATTTACCGAGTCTTGTCGACGATGTGGTCGAACAATCGGAACAAGAAAAAAATTCTGTCCCATGATTTTGACGTATGGACTAATTGTTTGAGCCCAGAAAAATTAATTTTATAAAATAATTTTTGTGGTCGGATTGACTGGGCCCGTCGAAATGCTTGGCACATTACCGTATTCTATTGTAGGTCAGGAAATTCAAGACAGGCAAGAAACCTGGATGTAACATACCTGTTTTTGACATCCTACTTTTTCATAGGCTTTGATGAGTCTGTTCTTATGATACAGCATAATACCGTAGTCCTGCTTTTGTGGAGAGAAGCCAAAAATTATCTTCATGGATTTTTTCTATCAAGCAGTCAAGGCAATTTTTATCAAATCTTCTTGCACATTCAAAAATAATATTCTGTTAATCTTATGTCACCTAACCTACACCTAACTTATGTCACCTAATCTTAAATACACATCAAAGACGGCACATATTCAAACACAGAAAAGAATTTTTAAAAAATAGACTATGTCTAGATAAGATGGATGGTGAAAGAGTTAAATTCTCAAACATTTCGTCAATATTCATCTCAACAACAGGAATAGCCTGTCTACATAAAACAAAAATGTGTTTCACTAAAAATGAAAAATTTCATGACACACCATTACTGTGAATATTGTGAATTCACCCTTAAATCACATAAAATGGAGCAAGGCATACTGTACTAATAACAAAAGTAGTTTTGGTAAGTAAGGATACAAGCCATGTTGGTCTATAAACATCGCTTTCAGTTTCACTAAGACTTTTAGTAATCAGCTTTGTTTTAACTTTGGACCCCCTCAATATGATCTTCATTCTAGGCTTTAGAAATAAAATGGAACAGTATTCCTGAAAAGAATCATCATAAACTATTAACCAGAAACTTAAGGAAATTCCAGAATGTTTTTCTCATTTGCTTCATTAAAATTTTGTCTAATTTTCAACTTGAATTTCCTTAAAAATCCTAAAAAGCAATAAGCAAATGCTAAAATTCAGGCAAAGACTAAAATATGCAAACTAGTGGATAAGTACCAATTCTGTTTCTAAAGTAACTTGTATTAACTCTGTTTATTTTTTTATTTTTTTTTTTTCACTTGTGATTCATAATGAATAAAATATGTAATTATCAACAAAGAATTTCTGGTCCTCAATGTCATGTTAAATTATTCAAATGTGTTAAGTTTCACTGGAGTTCATTGAGACTATAAAAGGCCAAAATACATTAAATCCACAAGTGGAATGAGAAACAAAATTTATACAATCTGATCCACTGTAGCTTACCCTACCTCTGACATGGAAGTGGTATATTAATTAATAGTTTAGAAATATCAAAATTGCAGTATTGTACCCTTAGAGAGCGGGTATACTCTGGTTTATGTTCCACCACTGGTCTGTACACAGCATTGGCTGTGGTGTTCAGGTCCATCTGTTCATGCTCTAGATTCATTATGTCATCAGGTTTACTCTGAAAATCCAACTCAAGCATACCATCACTTGACCTGGGGAAGGGAAAGAGAACAAACTTAATGAGTTATAGATCTATATAAACTGATCAATCAAATCTATAGTGGGGTATTAGGTAAAAAACTGCCATTTGTATTCCTCGACTTTTTTTGCTACCTACATATACTATAAATCGTATTGTAAGGAGCAGTAATTGCTGTATTTCAATTCACTTATATGGATGACTTGCAAAAACTTTGCAGACATATTAGAGTTCACACACACATACGCACACATGCACTCACATTTATTGGTCACTTTTTCATTCAGATATTGACAGTAAACAAATTCAGTGTCTACATGTAGATAAGCTTCAGGTTGAATTAAATGCAACCAAAGTACCTTTTGAGATTATAGATGATAATTTCTGTCCCAGTCTGCCCAGAAATAGCCTGAAATTCATCTAAAAGTTCCTTTTCTGAATGGAAGAATGAGTGCGTTGTAATGGCATCAATGCTACCTTGGGTGTCTGGAGCATGTAGTATTTGACCTAAAGTAAAACACAAGATCAAGTTACATATGTGACAGTGAATAAAAAAAATCATGTTAAAATTGTAACTGCAGAATCAGGATTCATCACAAAGCTATTGCTTTTTGAAGTGTAAATGGTTACCAACAAGAGTGGATGTTGAAATTCAGTGAATTCAGTAAGTTTTTAGAGTACTCATTAAACTTAGTTCAAAAGCTCTCAGCAGTCTTACGACTTTTAGAATCCCATGTTACTATTGGTGTCAGCACAGTTTCTGCATTGGTCATTTCCAGAAATGTTTGGGAGAGAAAGCCAACACTAATAGTGTCCTCTTGTTTGGTGAAGACAATGGCATCTCTACCCAGTCTCATGCTGCCCGACTTGAAACCATTGCCATAATGACCTACAGGTTTGTGGCCATTGATTTCAACTTTCTCACAAAAACCAAATCTAAATATAAGAGAAGGAAAAAGACTTATTAATAAAGGAAAATGTTATTTGAAAATTTCCATAAAATCTAACAAGGTTATAAAAGACTTTACTTGTTAGAATCAATTTATGTTATGCATTTTAGACCTGTGTGAACATTTAGTTTTCCCAGGGTGTTTAAACACTACACAAAGTGATAATCTAAATTAGCTCAATTCAAGAGAAGAAAATACGCACGAAAGCATTTTGTGTAATTTGTCAGGATTCATGCCATTTCCATTGTCAGTAAAAATGAGGCAGTCTTTTTGGCCTATTATTCTCTTGTCTATCCGCAACTGTGAGGCATTGCAGTCTGGATCATAAGCATTATCTACGAATAGAAGATGACAAATTCATTTCATGGGGGATTTTAATTACATGTTGCAATTCTAAACTTATGGCATTGAAAACCAATGTAATCTTTTGCTTCTGATTTTCTTTGGCAGCTTAAATAAGACTCCACACAACAAACATATTAGATGGCACTTATACTGTTTTTCAAATCAGCAACTTTCTATTTTAAAATGGATTTGACACACAAAACACACAAGTAAACTTTATTCAAACATTGTGACTGTATTACAGTAAATAATTTTGCATTAATTCTCTTATTCAGTGTACCTATAAGCTCAGCTATAGCTGAAAATATCCAGGTGTGGCTTGTGGAGTTTGCATGTAAAAAACTTGGGCTTGTCTGAAACAATGAACAAAATGGAATTGGCATAGGTTTATCTTATTGTTTATCCCCCCACAGCATATGATGTGAAGCTGTTTTAAATATGATATATTGAACAGGGTCACATCTTTGCCCACCACATCATCATTCCCCACATCATTACTTCCTCTAGTAAAATTATGATATCACATGCACCAATGGGCACTTCTTTCATTATACTTCCCCATGCCCACCATTACTCCCTCTCATCAAAATAAAATTAAAAATTGATCTTAGGTCCTATCTGCTGAGTTGTTTTATAATGATAATTGAAATCTTTTTGGCACTTTTGGGTCCCAGAAAGGTTATTCTGAAAAAGGTGTTGAATGTCACAGTTTTTACCAGGGTGAATCTATCATGTAGAGAAGTATTGATGTGGGGGGGAGGGGGTAAATATACTACATATAAAGTCATGAATTCATCATCAATCACAACCCTATCGTTATTTTGTCACAAAAAAACTTGATTAGACTTTATATTTAGGAATAAGATACCTTATCAAATGAATAAACAAAAAGAGGATTATCAATTATTTACAGGTTTAATTTCATGCCATCACCGTAATACATGTATTAAAGGTATTCTATGGATGATTTTTGCACCAAATGTATTTTTCTTTGAGAAAAATAAACAATTTTCTCCTTCTGATAAATCTGAGCACTTGGATTCAACGCTCTCACCATTACAAATATTATGTCTTGTTTCTAAATGAATCATGTCTTCCTCATATTTCACAAGGAAATATCAACATCAAGCACTTACATTTGAGGGGTAATATCACTTATAAAATCTATATTGGGAAAAATAAGTAGCTTTTTTGCTATTTACCAGTATCACATGCATATAAATGGCTTTGGATATATTGTATATTTTATATACAATATATACTAAAAGAACCTGCTAGACTCTAAAGAGAACGTCGTCATGATAATGTCCTGCTTGAAACTATGCTGATATGACTATGCACCATCGATGCACAGATTTGGTGAAGACAACCAAACAAGATGACACTTGAGTCTTGACAGCTAGTACATGTAGTAGCAATGTTACAATACAATACAATAAAATAAAGTTTATTTAATGTCGGAAAGAATGAAAGTACAAACATTTCCTGAGTAGCTATTCACCGACAGAATAAATTAGATAATGATTGACACAATGTTTACTACTACTATTTCTAACTACTTCTATATTGATTGAAATTACAACAGGGTGTTCATTTTTGTTCATTATTTCCTCGATATCCGAATTTATTTCATTCTTCTTGGTTTAAAATTGTCCTTTTTTAAAATGTTGATAACCAGTGTATTTTCTTGCAAACAAAATTCATGCATACATTGTGTGAAAGGAAAACGCAACATTTACCTTTGATAGACGAACCCCGTTCTCCATCGCGATTCCCTCCATAAGGATTATACACAGGCCTCGACATGAGTGTACATGGGCTTCTGTGGTATCACAAGCGAGGTTAAAATATGGAGAGTTCTCGTCATATAAAATCTTGGTAAATATAAGTTTTACATTTTTAAAATACACAAAATAACTTTTAAGAGTTAATAGCATGCGTTTTATATTTTTAATACTTATTCAAAAGAATTATTTGGCAGATTGCCTATTGTATGACTTTATGACAGATTGTCTATGATTATACAATTCGTCATTGAAACTAAACTTGCAATACATGCGTAGTTCAGTTTGTGACAGGTAGGTTTGGACATGTTGTGGAACTTGTGCTAATGTGCTGTTCTACATTTTACACTGTTCACACTTCACTTGGAGTCGGAGCCCAAATTTTAAAATGAAAGTTGCACCAGTATTCTGATACATTGCCTCACTTGCATGTAAAGCTGCTCAACCAACTCCTTTGTATTACTTATAATTATGAAACTACATTGTACCATGACTATTTTTCTGACCTTTATTTAATTCAGATTAATTATGAAATTGTGCAAAGGGGAAAACAATGAAATGAATACAAAATACCCCCCTCAAAAAATAAATAAATAAATAAAATAAAATACTCAGAAAGATTATATTTTCATTTCTTTTTATTTATTTATTTATTTTAATTATATTTTATAATTCTAAAAGGAAAAATAATCTGGCACAAAGACATGTAGGTCAGATATTAAATTTTGTCATATACTTCAAGAGGAATTTATCTATTAATCTTCTATAGATAAGCCATGCATTTTTTACAGATCTACTGAAGTTATGGGCCGAACTTGGAGACAAAGAAATATGAAGAAACAGAGGCCTGCATCAAAACACTCTGTTAGTTTAAATTATGTATTACTGTTTAAGTGGTTAAAAAGTAACGGTTTTAGGTGTAGGAAACTTCAGCCAGCTGAATTTCATGGTAGGTAGTTTTATATTTAATGCTTTTTTGCCGAATAAAAAATTTTAAAATACCCATGTCTTGACATTTTTTGATGGAATCTCAGACTGAAAAAACCAGGCCATTTTACTTTTTCGGTGAAATGGCAGGTTGAAAGGATTCATGTGCTGGCAGAACTTAAGTGTCAAATTTAATGGACAGATGCAACATAGACTTACATGGATTCATTCATAAGAACATTCCAAAACCATTCTGATTGGATTTTTTTCTCAGAAGTTATGAAGATTTTTATATTGGCATTTTCAAGGTGAGAATTTCAATTCCCAAGGGTCTGATGTCCTGTGCCTGATGCATTTCCTGTTATCCACAGTAACAGTAGTACATTATAAAAAATGTCGGTGATCATGCCTTAAATCATTATGCAATATTGTACAAAATTTATTTTTAAAAACATATTTTGTACACTATTCAGTATTTTTAGACAGGTTTGATGTCAATGCTTCTATCATGTTTGCGTTTGGTATGTCCTTCCATTAACAGCTTTAATTACTGCCTTGTTTTATATGTTAAACTCCACCTTTTATCATATTTGAAATTCTGCTGTTTAAGCTGTTGAAGGTCTGATTATCCATAATGAGATACATAGCAACTATATGAGTGTAATTCAAGTTTTTTTGAATGTCAGGTTTTCATTGAGATTTGGCTAACAGATTTTTTTAAAAATTTATTTATTCATTTTTTTAGATACTGGAAGAGGTTTGCTGACCTTGAACAGTATCCCGTCTGGAAAATGTATTATTTCACTTCCTGGGAGACTGTTGATTACTTCTCAGACTGTGATGGCAAGTGATCTGGGTGCTGACATACAGAGGTAAGATTCGGTGCTTTTTATTTTTCCTCATTTTAAAAAATTGATATAGATTAATAATATTATTCATTACCTTAGGGAGTTCTTGACATGAATATAAATTAACGATGAGGACTACTAAAACAGTTAACAGGGTGACCCCCCCCAAAAAAACAGAACCCATAAAAATTTTAATAAAACCTACAAAGGTCCATCAAATTTTGCTACTGAAATCGCTCTCTCAGGCTAGGGAGTCATCTGATGTGTGGGAGTGGCCCAATCTTGCTGGAAACACTGTCCATCTTGATCTATCCCTCTAAATCGTTCCAGTGATGTCCAAAACTTCCTCAGCACTGCCACATAGCGATTTTAGGAGAGACTGATCAGCAGGAAGTGTGATATTGAGTGAGCACGGCATTCACTGGACTTGAACCTCCCCCAGATTATTTTCTGTGGGGTATCTCAAAGATAAAGTGTACCAGAACAACCCTCATATGATTGGTGAACTGTGGGGAGCAATCACAGCAAATATCAGTGAAATCCCAATGGAGAAATGTGTTTGAGAAATAGACAATTTTTCGCAACACGTGCAAGTGTGTTTCCAATGCCTAGGAAGCCATTTTGAGCATATTTTTAAAAAGAACTTTTATGCAAAGCAACCAAGAAAACTGAAACTTTGGGTAATAATCGTGCACATATTGAAGTTAAAGTCCAGCAAATTTCTTGAAATTTGATAGACCTTTATAGGATTTATTTAAAATTTTATGTTTTTTTTTTTGGTGGGGGGGGGCACCCTTTATTTACCTCTCAGCCTAGGTTTTGAATGAAAACCTCTCCATAAACATATTTTTTTCCAGATACATACCAAGACTTTCACCTCTACTAGCTCTGTGCATTTACTTAATTAATGAACAGCTGAAAGGAGTGGACTCATTTTGGCATCCTTATATCCAAGTTTTACCCACTGACTTTACCACACCAGTGTACTATTCACAAGAAGAACTTCAGTGGTTGCCAACAAGAGCTAGACAAGCCGCTATGGAACAAATTCAGACAGTTACAAGGCAGTACCTGGAGTTAAAAGAATTTATGTCAAATATTATAAAAAGCCATCAAAAATTGGCAGAAACATTTAGCTATGAACATTTCCGCTGGGCTTGGTGTGTAGTTAATACAAGATCAGTATACATGCTCCAACCTAGATGTCAATTTTTGTCTAATGAAATTGACCACTATGCTTTAGCACCATATCTGGATTTGTTAAACCATTCTGTGGATGCTAAGGTACATGTAGAACATAAAGGATTGTTTGTACTTAGCATCATTTAGCACATTCTGTGCTCAAGCTAACAATATACTTGTCTTGTTATTTGTAATTAACAGATACATTTCCCAAAGGTAGTTTGCTCTACTTTTTCTGGCTGCAGTAAAAAAACCCCAAAAAAGTTACTAGTTTATTTCATATGATTTTCCTACAATATTTTAATTGATGAATTTCAAATGAATTATGTCTGTATTTTTTCCATCTCATTTATAAAGTTTGTGTGTTCAGATGAGTTACTACTTCTTTCTCCTTGATTCCAGGTAGATGCAGGGTATAATTATGATACAAAACGCTATGAAATTATCACCTGGACTGCATATAGTAAATATCAGCAAGTGTATATTAACTACGGACCACATAATAATACAAGACTGCTGGTTGAGTATGGTTTTGTCTTACCATCAAATTGTCACAATGCTGTTCAGTTTGACTTAGGTTTGTATAAGATAGGCAGGAGAGCTGCATATGGTATTTGATATAAAGTAACAATAGTTCAAAATATTGAAAGATGTTTTGAAGCTTCTGAACTCTCCATATTTCTTCATATTGATTTGTGTGCTGGTACCATCTGTTGAACACAGTGTAAACAAAACCTTGGAAAACCTTAGGAAGGGTTGAAAGTGAAGAAGGAAGACAATTATACTGTTCTTTAAATAAATGTTAAGGTTAAAATTGTATAAGTGATTAGTATATTTTTCATTCTGGATAATGATCAGTAGAGAATATTGAAATCATCAATTTTTTTAATCAAGGATTCCTTGGTTAATGTAATTTATTTTTGCATGTGAGAGTTTTTTGTATACTAGTTATCACAGACAGTACATTTTTTTTACTTGCAGATCAAATAAAAAGCAATCCTATGTTCAGTTCCATCAACTCCTCTGATAAAAAGTTGGATTTTATTAGAGAACATAAGTTGCAAAGGTGAGGAAGTTGCCATTAGTGGTATAAATTAATTTTCTGACCAGCTAGCATACTGTTTTGCATCAAAACTTTTAGTTCGTTTTATATCATCATCTATTTGAAAGGTTTAAGATTTCACTGTACGTAAGATTAAATGTACAAATATATAATAAGTGTTTCTGCTGAATTTCAGTGACTTATCCTGTTTAGAAGATGGTTTATCATGGAATCTGATTAAAACTTTACAGATCCTTTCTTCCCCAAGTCCATGCTTGTGAGTGAATTGTGTTAGTTGTGCAGTATGTCCATTCTTTTCATTGTGTGAGGTATCTCTGTACTATTTCTCCTTCTCAGTTGCTAATTTGATATGTGAGGAGCCTTTGGGTTATCTATTATCTCCATGTTGAAGAATACATACAGAGAGATAAGATATCTATATATTTATCTACATGTCATCTCAAACAAAACAGTGTTATAGTTTGTGTGATGAAATTGCTGACATTGTAGAAACTTAACTGATCAAAATTTAACTGCCTGTGGAGCTGTTTGTGGTTTAGATTATTCATACATGAAAGTAAGTCTAACTTGTACTATGTTGTTAAAGAAGCTGATAACCTAAGTTATGTGAACTTGTGTAACAGCATAGTTGTTCTTACTCTAGGGAAGAATGGAAAAGGATATTATTTGAAGAAAGCACAAATCTGACACTAATAGTTAGGGATTTTGCCATTAGTTTTTTAAATTGGGCCTTGCAGCAGTACCCTACTAAGGTAATGTAAAGAAACCCCCATAGTGTGTGGTCTATTACCTCTGTTCTCTCTGTTAAATGTGATGCTTATTTTGTCTTCATCACATTTTCTTGGTCTGTTCTATATTCATATCTCTACTGTAAATGTTGATCCATGTGTTGTTACTTATATATACTCCTTGTCCTTAGTGGGGTAAACTGTTTTAACATTGCCATAAAATTTAAGTGTCAACTTGATCCAGTCAAGAAGTTAATTTGTGTACGAAAACAGCAATAGGGTTGCCTGAAGGCTTACCCACCAATGAGAGGTTTTACAGGCATTTAAAAAAATGGTTGTCTGCTTCCATTTGTGGGTCACCATAACATTTTTTTTAACCTACGCAAATGAGGACTGAGTCAGACAAATTCATTATTACACAGTATGTTTAATTTTCTCACTCTTTCAATTTTTATGTATTATTATTTTTTTTCTTTTTCCAGGATGAGCAGTGTTGCCCAAATTTTGAACTTTCTTTAAATCAACAGATGTGTATGACACTGACTTTACAGGAAAAAGAAATAATAAATCAAACACTGGATGCTTTACAGTCAGGATGAATGGAACCATTCACATAGAAATCAGAATGTCATATCAGTTTTACAGCTTGTAAGGATTTGAGCAAGCTTGATGTTCGTTGGGAAGTTAAGATTTGGTACATCTTTGTTTTCAAAGTGAGGTGCATTTTATTTTTGTTACCAAATTAGTCAAAGTACCGACATTCAGAAATGCCACTTATATCTAGATTTCTTAAGATTTTTCATTTGAACTTTATTATTTACAGCAGGGCCGTAGCCTGAGCAAAATGCCAGGGGGGGCAGTAAGCGGATACGAGGGGGCAAAGCCCCCGAGGGGGGAGGGGGTGTCCCCCTACCACGGTGTGGAAAATTCCATTTCCGGGGGGGGCAACTGCCCCCCCTGCCCCCCCGGAGGCTACGGCCCTGTACAGTCAATATAAATGTATTCTGATAATCTTTATCCGTGTGTCTTTGTCGGTGTCTGACACATTTGTTCACCCCATAACTGTCAAACCACCTGGTCATTTCAGTTTCTAAAAAAACGCAGTTAAACTGATTTTATGCACTTTGCTTATTACTTTAATGTTGTATGTCATTTTGTGATAAAGGGAGACATTTCTGTATCATTCTCTGTTTTAGTCACTGGTTGTTGAGAGGAAAAATGGTTAATATTTTAAGTTTCTCAACTTTTAACTTGCCTAAACATCATCGATTATGTTTTAATTTGCTTTAAGTTTGTATGTGTGCCATCTTTGATGTCAACAGTTTTTTCTTATTTTTAATATATATATATATTTAAATATTATCCAGATTGTTAGTTATTTTATGTAAAGAGGGGTTCAATTGGTAATTGTATTTGTGAGGACTCTACCAAGTTCCATTAACTTGTGAATGAACAGCTAATAATACAAACAACCCAGAAATTTTGTGTAATTATTTTATTAAAACCAGAATGGTGCCCTCGGTGAAGTAGACACCTTCCCCTAATTACAGACTATGTGGTGAATTCCACACCTTCAGTCAGCATGGATACACCGTTAATTTCTGTTTTAGGCAACTGAGGTGGTAATCTAAGTTGAACAAAAAATTGAATTGTTTACACTGGAATTAACGGGACTATTCCAATTTTTCTCGAATTAGTATTGCACTTCTCTCGCTTTCGTTTGCGGTATTTTCTTACTGGTAAAGTGGAAACCAATACAGCAAAAACGTCAGACTTGATGTTAGAATTGCAAACGATGTACGTTGGGAAACATTAGTGGCTGCCCAACAAAACAATCTGTTGGCATAAAAAGGGATATTTTTTAACGTTCCAAAATGTGCCTTTCAAAATCTCTTGACGTAAAAAGGGCCCTTTTTAAACGTTCTAAAATGTGCGCGCAACAGGCCTACCAACTTATCCACCATAATGCTTATCATAACTATGACATTACCATTTTTTCATGGTATGTCAGAACATGATATCGCCACAAACACTGATCGGTTTTGTGTTCACTATGAAGCATTTTTAAAGCCTAGGAAACGAACAAAAGCAACCAAAATCCATTAAATCCATTGTGCCATTTCAGAAAGATCAAATCAAATACTCACTGGCATATCCGCATACTTTTGCACTCTAATATCGAAGTGATTCTGAACTTCATAATTTATTTCTGTTCAGATTTAGATCTATCCTCTAGTACTTTCCAAGGGTCTGATTTTCATTAGGGATTTAACCACATTTACGTCGGCCCACTCCATTCTTCCAGGTCCCTTACCGTGGGGCAGATTTATATTGCCGCCGCAATTTCCAAACCACCATCCCCCTCTATAGAGACCGGCACAGCTCCCATAATACCACGAATCATAATCCTTGTCCAAGGTGGAGAATTCCAGGCCATCGTACGGTTCTAGCCCATCTTTGTAGTTGGTGTCGGATAGGGTTCCAACAGAGATACGGAAGTGGTTTGCCTCGTCTTCTATCTTAAAATTGTCGTATTCGGCATAGTACCACTTTCCGAACGACGCCTGAGCTTCCACACGTAATTTCATTGGCCGTGCGGCGGTCAACATGTGCATGGCTTCCAGACCAATCCAGTATTCACCAGAAACGTTTCCAAAACCAGCAAGGTAGTCGCCATAGTCTCTGAAACGGAAATAAAAATTAAAATGCATGTACCATTCCGGAAAAAGGCATCATTCCTAGGCCCGTCCAAGGCACAGAAGCAAATTTACGTAGTGGCGTCCGGTTCATTCAGGTTCATTCGTTCTCCGAAAAAGATGTTTCGGCTTCACACGGAGAGGAGGATCTGTGTTTTGTAGGGTAGAGGTTTAATTCATTCAGAAGAAATTTCATGCAGACTACGTATATATAATGAAAAAAGTTCCATATGCAACGCACAAATTACCTGTAAAAGTCTACTTTTCCTTCAAATCGTCTTTGTAGTACAGTCCACCCCGAATCGCAGTAAGCTACGAATCCATATTGGGAATCCTCCGGCTGTAATGTGTATATGCCAGGTTTTTTCATTCCCTGGTCAAATGCAGATTGGCAGTCTGTAACGTTAAGGTGAAAGCAGACGGTCATTAATTTTAAAAAATGTTCTTGGGAAGGAGAATTTAATTTTTTAACAGAATGAAAAAAAACTCAGCGGGACCGAAACTGAGTGCGGTTTCATATACGATACATTATTTCTGCAAAGTGATTCAAAGAATTTTAATTTTCTGGTATTTTTCTGGCAGACAAAAGTCCAACCGCCGCCTCCTGTATGTGTGTTTGTAATACAGTGTAATTGTTTCCTTTTGCCATAGAAATTAGAGTCAGACTGGACTTTTGTATGCGCGTATAAACCCCTGAATCCCATCAAGTGCATGGATATCAAAATTAATAAAACATGTTTTGAATTTTAACTGCCCATCTGATTTGGCATCCAGCGGTGAAAGAACGGATCGTAGTTAGACTTGCTGACACGCATTTCTTTCTCTGTGAAACTGTTCACACAGGCATCATGTCTCAGTAAAACTGCTAATGGCAACCCCCATTGCATAGGAACATTTTTTCTCACAACCGCGCCATAAGACTAAACCGAACGTGCCAAAAGGCAGTGAAATGGTGATACAGCATTTGTTTGTGAACGGTTTACTTTCAGGTTGAATCATACAGGATGCTTTTTGTGCTTTGTTGGCAACAGTTGCGTCTCGTGTATTCCCGCCCGCATCGAATGTCGGCTGTAAGAGCTAATTTGCCAAAAATTAATTTGGGCGGGGATTGGAGACCAACATAATCTTACATGAAGTTTGAATTGATTGAGGCAGACTGGTAATTTTATCGACAAAACAAACATCTATATTTTACAATTAGATATCGTTTACGTGATTTGATCAAACCTGTCATAACACTTTTACGTTAACCACTAATTCTCAAACCGGCAAGAAACGGGATTTTCCCCTCCATAATGAAAATTCATCTAACTTGGTTGCATTTGGAACATCTCCCATTACTGTAACGAACGGCTTCCGTTTTTCCAGACTCCGCCCTACCTGTCCTAATTGCAATGTTACCACCAAAAACATTTGGCAGCTGGCTTCACACCTCTGTCCTACTGTCAAGACTTGTTTTAATTATACATTCACTGCGCCGAATTTAGGTTGAAATGCCATTTACCCACTAATATGTGGACACTTCGTCGTGTCTTACCAACATCAAAAGCTAAAAGATCTTATCCGAGCTTTCTTTTAATTCAGCACACTTTTCAATGGTAGAACCGAAATTTATATGTCTTTCACAACAGTCATGTTTTGTTTCTGACAGATGCTATCAAGGTGAAGTGTCCAAAATAGAAAAGGTAGGCAGAGGCCAAGACGAAGGGAAGTTGGTTCACATTTGAGAATATCTAAAATGACTTTTTAACATATATGGTTACAAAAAAATCTGCACTATTTCCGCTGTTTTGAGCATAGAATAACAAAGGAAGTGTTGAATTGGTGGGGATATCAACAGAATCTGAATATACAATAGAAGCAACTAGTACATTTAGAGATGGTGGTTCGTATGCTTTCTTCAGATTATGTCTGTCCTATAAACTACAGTATGTGGGCGTAAATATTGCAATCTCGTCTCAACAATGATTAAAAGGTCAGGTGGATCTAAAGTTCTGATGTATAACGTCTTTCACTTGAATTGTAATTCAATTTTTGCCCATCATACAGTTTAAAAAGAAACAAATATTCAAAATTTAAACAAGTTACGATTGGGAGGAGACACTTATTCGACATCTTTCTATGCATAGTCTGTTCTTTTAAAAAGAGTGGCTCCATTAGATGCAACAGGACTCAGATGTCGTGTTTGCAAGGTTTGGAGGACCTGGCATTTTGTGCAACCTTGAAATTGCTGAGTGTTTTGATTTCTTAGAATGTTTTTAAGTTTAAAATGTCATTGATATGGCAACTGTTACGAATCTGTCACAAAATAACAACACGTCGTTATATGCGTAACCCCCTTCTACCCTGATATCATTTAGGTGAACTGTTACCATGCATAGGCCTACGCGATCTGCTGAAAGATTTTACTGAATTTTTCCGTGCTTTTTTACCGTCTAACAATTGTAAATTTGTACCGTGTTGATACCCATTTAAATTCCTTTAAATGACATCACTTGAATACTATTGAGGACTCCTCCCTTTCTTCATAACATATCCAATGCTTAGAAAGATTTTTTAAAAGGCGATATTTTGAAAAATGAGAAGTGGTCTGAAGCCGTTTCAGTGAAAACTGTTCATGGGCCGAATAGAAACAGGGCTCGAATCAGATTCACATTAGCAGGTGCGATACAAACTGTGTAAATCATGAAACAAACCGCATAAGAGACAGTTACTGCTTTAAAAAAGGCGTTTTGAACGGAATAGGCGTGTGCTTGCAACCCCTCGGCGTTCTCCCTCTGAAATCTCCTAGTGATCCCCGAGATAGCGGCTAGCACGGTCAACATACAGGTTGATTAATCGAGGGACAAAACTGGCTTTCATGCCTCGTGCAAATGTTGCACTCAAAGCCATGATTTAGTCGAAAAGGTACTTAATGCAGCCTTAATTGAGAGCGCGTTCAGATGCAGCATTGGCCAAAAAAGCTGATCCACTAACACTTAAGAACTAACAGCCTTCATTAAATGCACACAGGTTGAGGAAAATGTCCGTTCAAGTAAAAAAAAAACTGAAGTTTGGTAGCGAAGTAATTTTTGCAATGTTTTCCCATCTGATTTTAACTAATGACAAATTTTCCTTAAAGAATTCCTGGGAGCCTACTACCATGAAAATGTTCTCAATTAAGTAAAGTGTGTTGTGTATTATCCAGAATGTCTGGAAACGTGACAGCAATCAATCCACCAGAGTAAGTTTATAACCCCTGTTAGAGAAATGGCTAAACTTTTATAAATTAGATTTGTCTGGCACAACACTTTTTGTTGGCTGTACAAACCAAAATCGACGGAGAGCGCTTGTAGTCCTGATCACCTCAAATAGAGGACTTGTTTACAGCTTCAGGAATTTAACAATAATGCTTTTAATATGTTGAGATGAAAGCTGGTTGGGAACCATCTCCATCAAAAGAAATTTATTTTAAAATCATTAAGAACAATCAGTTACTTAACGAGTTTCCGTGTGCGTGTTGCTCAGGAATGATTTGTTCCATTGTTGGGCTTTTTCAAAAGAAAGCTACATGCTTTGTTTTCACCCATTTTCTCCTCGGATAATATAAAATCCGTTCAGAAACTATTCCTACGAGATGTGGCTACCAGTAATTTAATATGATACAAATAATTAAGCAGGGTAAGAAAATAATAAAATTACTTTCCTTTTAAATTTTCAACTTTCTGACATCCCAGTTTCATAATATGAAATCTAATGTAATATTGACTGTTCTGGCGTATACATGAGCAAAGACACAAAAACTTGTCTGCGGATTGTCTTATTTAATGACTGTATTCAACACTTACCCAAGAACGAAAAATATCCTTGGCATTGGTTCATAGTGAAGTCTCTCATACAAAACAAAGTCAGTTCATTACCTATCCGCACTATTACTGATATACTTACAGAAAAGTAGAAAAAGACATTACGTGGTTACGTAGGCGCCAAACCAGACAGCCATTCAGACTGATCTAACTTTTGGCTTTTGAGTGCGTGGTAAAATTGTAAAAGTATACAGCAAAAACACTTATTTGACAGATGTTATCGAATGCGTCTGAATTTTTCTCTTTCTAACAGACGTTCAATCCAACGTTCTTTTTCCAGCCAAACTGTAAATTGGGGGAACATTCACTGGGTTTTTTGACGTTGAAACAGATGGTGAATTTTTTGTTCCGTGTTGGTGGAAGTTCAAGGGGTGGGGAACGGTTATAAGAAAGTACTTGATCATTAGTGATATGCCTCGGTGATGTATGCAGGGCTTGACCTTAAATTAAGTCTGATAACTGACCGCAAACTCTGGACTGTAACTTGTAAATAGTTAAAGAGTTAAAACAGCTCACCTCCTTTGATTGTATCCGGAAAGATTTCCCTGATCGGATCGATTCCCTCTGGTTTGAACAAGGGTTTGAAGTTTGGCATACTAATGGCCTCCTTCCATCTGTCTGTCTGTTCTTTTACCTCTGCCAGGAGCGAGGCGAGTTGATCATAGGACCGCTTAACGCTATTTATTTCCAGGCGCAGATTTTCATTGTCTTCTTTAAATCTAGAAAATGTAACCTAGATTGTCATTTTTTCTTTGTCTTTTCTTATCTTTCGCGTAGAATCATTAACCAAAGCAAGAAGCAATTTGTGGTCAGTTGTTATTCCTACTTAAAGGACATTTAACTGTTTTTAACAAATGATATCTCAAAATGTAGGCATTGTCTCAAAAGGTTTGAAATTACTCGACACAAACAACCCTATTAACTTTTCTCCTTTAAAACGTCATGAAATTGTTGGTGCTTAACAACCCTCAAATCGTCAGTGTCGAATATATGGTCACTTGGGCGAAGGAATAACTGAAAAGAGCTAATTAATGTGGTACTTACCTCTCATTCTGCTGTTCCAACGTTTGAATAGCTTGTTCCAGTTCCTGGGATTCACACTGGGGCTTGAGTTCTCGCCCGGGGATATTAAATGTAAAACTGCACTGGTCAATTTTGGGCTTATTATCAAGGTAAGACTGGGTAGCAACAACTGGTAGAAGAAGAAGAAAAAACAGACAAATTGCTGCCATTCTTACTAGTGAAATCACATTAAGTTTAAGCAACCCCGTTCGACCCAACTACCTCGGCCTACAGCTCCCTGCACGACAAACTCACTGTGGCGCAGCGTTCTCAGTTTATGTTGACATGAATTTCCGACTGAGCGGCGAAGTGTAATACTATCTCGAACAGCGTACGCGTTTCATTTTCTCAAGTAGTTCATATATCCAAGAGCTGTAATATTATATACAACAGGTCTGTCCATTCGTCATGGGCGTGAAACCCAGCTGGGCGTACGGCACTATACATTGAGCTGACTGAATTTACATGACACGTGTTGCATATATAGACTTTCGCTGCATTTTCAACAGACTAAGATTGAATCATTTCCATGTCTGGATGCATGTAAAAAGGGTTGCATGTATATAGATAATACAATCCATCTACCAACCGTTTCATTTACGAAGGATGGCAAGATATTTATTGAAATATAGTCATCCTTCAAACACAAGAAAATAAAAGGGTGGAATTGAATAAAAGTAACCTGATTTTTTTTCAAACAAAAAATAAAGTACAATTAAAGCAGTGTTTATTTAGCGCATAACAAAGAGTTAAACAATATGCAGCCCATCAATGAGAGTTGTACGCTTAAATATCCTTCACCGCTGTGCTTCTACTGCTGAAACGGGTAAATCCAATAAAGATGTCTGCGGCTGTAAAGAGGGATATCCGCACACCTTGTTTTTACGCCTTGCGCTCAACTTTCAATTAAACTGACTCCTGCACGTGACACTTCTTCACGATCACGGGGAGTCATCACTAATTACTAAAAAATATCGCTTTCGTGCATCTTTTTGAAAGTTTTACGAAAATCATTGTATAAAATTATACGGTTTACCTTCATTCGAGTGTCCATTTCGAGGCTTGACCCTCGCACAGAAAAGGGCCTTAATTAATAAAAACAACCGCGAAGTATTCGGTTTCCAGGCAATGTCTTTACTTTGGTAATGTAATTAGATCGAAGGTTAGGAGCAGAAGGCTGAACATTCTTCTTTGATATCGGGACCATGTTACGTTTGAAATACGGCTGATAAAACAATTTTCCAATTGACCTTTGATGATACTTGGGTCAATTTAGTTCCACCAAGACCACGGTGCTCACGGCGTGATTTTTTTACGGCGAACTTCGTAAATTTATCAAGCTTCATGTCTAGTCTACAATATATTGAAGGTTTGTGGGGTATCGGTTTTGCATTCATGACTTGTCTTCCTTGATCTTCTTCAACAGAAATAAACATAATTTATTTAAGTTCGGTTCACAACTAATCATGGAAATCGTCTACTAGGCCTACACGAAGTAAAATAGCTAAACCTATGCAATCCGAATTTGCAACAAACCGTTGTTTGGAAGTAAGATACCATCCAGCAGCTAGCCTTCTTTCAAAGGAAACTTTTGTTTTGCTTTCGATACCCTTCCTTTCAAGTCCGTTTCACTTTATTCATTCATTCACTCAAAACACACAGCCCAAGCGCGTCTTCTAATGTTGATTTTTGTTGTTTAATAAGGCGGTGTTATCCGAAGTATATTGTTAGCCGGGCAATTTGGTTAAAAAGAATTGAGGCAATGGGAACATAGATTTTACCAGGATTTATGTTCAATGTCACCCTTAAGTAGAGTCTCTGGTTAAAACTTTACATCATTTGAAATACAAAAAATCGCAGCCAGTGACTAGAGCATACTTCCTGAGATTAACACTTTAGTGAAAACATTATTCGTGCTGAGAAACGTCTTTCCTTTAAAGTGTGCTAGTTGAGATCATAACACATTCACAATCAACGTATTATTCCCTGGAGTTTGGATCTGCTCGTTCGATTTCTGCGATTTATCATCTCAAAAAATCGTATTCATTCAGGTTAATCAAATGCTAAATATTTTAGTCTGAGCTAATTGTTTCGTCATTGCAGCGATAAATACCTCGACTATAATAATATTTTAGAAAAGCGTCATTGCTGTAAGATAATCATATACAGTGCATTAGAGCCCAAAAATCATAATATGGGGTGTTCTTTAACTGATACAAATAAAATGTCTATTGTAACCGAAAAAATACCGTCGTGTCTTAACCTGACGTAGCATAGCTAAGATAGCAATATTTTTCTATTGCAATATTAGAAAACCAGGAGGAATTCAATAATGATCGTTTACTTCAAAGACATTTCTGATCAAATACACTTTTATTAGTTCCTAGAATACCAAGGTCAAGTGGTTTTATTTACACTCTGCACCTTTAATTACATTGATTTCAAAATACACCCTTGCTCAATATAGAATCAAACAAGGAAATAATGTATATGCTATTTACCGTTTTAGATATTGTAGAAAATAATACTCACAGTTCACCCAGATTTAACTCTGCCCGCACGAAAACGAAGTAGATACTCCAGCGCAGTAGACTACTGCAATCATACTGCAAACATGCTTCAAATCTGCTTCGATGTGGGAGCTAATTAGCATATTTGAAACATGCTGCTATCATGCTGCTAATCTACTGCATTAATGCTCCTTCTCTGTTCAACCCTATGTAATTTTTGGAGTAGAATTGCAGTAGGCTATACTGCATTTCTACTGCAAATATGCTCCACACCACTACTGCCTTAATGCTTCTTTGCTACTTCGATACTACTGCATTTTCTTGCGGGTGTTCTTACTGCGTTACCTTGTTCCAATATCTTCGTTCGATTTGTGTCAGAAGTTATATACTATTGTGAATATTATATATTTGGCTTTGTCTCCGTGGTGTACTGGTAATGATAAAGTATGCTGTTCATTAATACATTAACATTGAGGGAGGAGGCTCGAGTTAAAATTTAAACCAGTTGCCTTGCATGGAAAATGTTCAGTTTCTTTTGGGATTTTATAGAAAAGTAAATTTGTCGCAGTTTATTTAAATATCTTAATAACTCTCAGATGCTCCGCTCGATGGCTAATTTAACTTGGATGATTTGACCATCACGCCAACTACTACAACGAAGCCATTGGCAATTCAGGGATTGTTTTAACTCACTATATAGTCTAAGAAAAAAATGGTTTAACCCGGGACTAATTGCAAAAAAATTGTAGTATGGTTTTTTTGAGTCTTTAAGTGGTCCATATGATCATATTAAAAATCTAGAAAAATCCAAGTAGTGGAAAGGGTATTTTTTGGGGAAAATCAAAAATGGCCGCCAGCACAGAGATCTACAGTTAGTAGGTGCAAATTTGCTCCACGTGGTTTCAACAAAAGCTTGTTAAAATGGTACAAAATGCATATAGGGATGTTGTGCCACTTCTCTCCAATTAAATCAAATGCAGATAGCCTCAACAAAATACAAAATGGCCGCCAAAACTAAAATGGCGGCTACAAATTACCAAATTTGAAGTAAAAAATTGAATAGAAAATAAGCTCAAAAGTACATTTATGGTCTTTTACCACTTTCTGTTGTAATACTAGATTGACTAGGGCATAAAGACTTAAATAAAATGAATTTAAAGGCGCTCTCTTTATCCAATTCATGCACCAAAATGAACTTGCCTGAGGTAAACGACATTATTTCCTACTTAAAATGTATTGCTATCCTGTCCCTACACTTAGTTCAATGACTTATCCCATTTGAATCTTAGTTAAAAATAACTGACCAGTCAATTAGTACCTAACTGTCTTCACAGGGATGGCCTAGGTTTCACTTCAAAAACAAGTAAATGACATTGCGAGCAATTATGGCTTTGGGACAAGGCTCAGAAGATTATGATCATATGATGTGCGCTTCAGATAAACTTTTTTTAATCTAAATGAAATATGGAGGTCTGCATCATATATGAACTTGGATTACTTTAACTCCAACTTCTCACCAGGGAAATAATGTTTGTTTTATTTGTTGGTAAGAATTTTTTTCTTTTCCACTCTGCAGCTTCATCTCATCTTTGAAGACAATAGCTGTGTTCATACTGTTAATTGGATCTAACTAGGTGTGCAGAACCATAGCTTAGTAGAGGGGACATCCAAGATGATCCCTTTGTAATGCTACACTATAGCTCTCCTATATCTACCTGGTGTGCAACACATTCCAACAGTCCAAGGTGTGTGATGAAGAAGTGCCACACCATCTAAAATGTACTCGACCTCACCTTCACTTTCAAACCCATCTGACTATATTGCCTGTTCTATTAAAGAGGAAATGTCCATACATTGTACCCTGAACCTTGCAGTTCTTTGCCTTTTCAAAGAGGTTTTCTCAACAGCCAGTTGCTGGTCTATCTTTGTCAAAAATTCACTCTCTTCCACATCTGATGTTACCATGGTCCAAAGAATGGAGATCTGGATGTCGGCTCTGTCTCCATCAATTGGAAATCACCCAGACAATGCATGCATGTACCTTCAATGACATCTGTGCACTGTGTTTCACTGTGCTGTGCTTCTTGTTTTGAGCAACAGTGGCTGGCACATTATCCCGCAAAAGCTTGAAGATGAGAAGTGCAATGAGGAATAGATCAAGTAATAGCTAGGCCCTAATTGCCCTAGCCAGAGCATTCCCTGGGAATCTTGTGGCTTACTGTATTGACAGCAAATATGGTTTCAAGAAGTTCTCAAAGTCCTGACCCTGTCATGAGTTGACATAAATATTATGCACTAAAGACAGCTCATCTCTGTGTGGAAGCCAACAAGCCTTGCAACTGGATATGGTAGTATATTGGATTCTTGTTTCCTTTCAACAGTAGTCTGATCCTTCCACCACAGTGGTTGATTAAAGGTAATTATTGGGGGTTGCACCGAACTGTTGAACGCGTGAATAAATTGAATTCAATGTGGGGTAGATGCATGACAGTTCTTTCTGTAGGTCTATGTCTATCAGAGAAAGAGACAACAGATGCTTTTGCTGGGTGATTCCCTCTAGTCACCATTTGCCCATGTAACCATTCCATAGTTTTTTGGGATGTGGCTAGAAAGCAGGTAAGGACAGTTTCCAAAAAAAATGGTTTCTGATAGGATCCGATTCCTAGATATTGGGGTTTTCCATGTTGGTGAATGTGGCAACAAATACTCCAGGATTCTGTCCCTTGTGTGGCCCTGGAGCCCCTGTCATATCTTACTATTAGGAGTACGAGCAACAGAATCCATGCAATTAGGAATTTTTTTCCAAAACGTTTATGCATTTGGACACCCAAACCTATTTGGACAGGCCAGCAGTACATTTGGCCTGGCTGATTATATAATTGCTTGTCCAATTGATGCAACATTTCAGTCTTAGACTGGGTTCCCATAGATTTAGATCAATCTGTCCGGATCGACCTAACTCCTTGGGGGTTCATGCTAATTTAATTGCTGTCAGGTTCCGAGAGCCGAGCGCGCACAAAAGTTAATTACCCCCTAACAGCTTTTAGTAGGCAGGACAGACATTTAAGCCGGTCAGGCTGACAACAATCAAGAATCAATAGATTGATCTAAAAATCTATGGGAATGCACTCTTAGAAAAAAGACTCATATTGTGTTTGGTGCCACTGTTAACTGTACAACTTTTTACCTCCATTACTTATTCATCATTATAATTAAGAAAAGGGGGTAAAGACACAATCTTGAGTGGAATATTTACTGAAGACAGCCTTATGAATTATCTTGCTGACAGCCATATTGGAAAATACTTTGAACAGGTACATAGATGGGTATAAAAAAAGAAGTGTTTTTCATATATCATATATTTATGATATTAGCAAAGAATTATTTGTTCCCAGAATGAAAAGAAATCCTATCCTGTCGGAATCCTTATTCGTCTGATTTTTCACACTTAGACTCATATTTCTCCTAAAGAGCCATATTTGAAGCCAAACCTTGTTGAGAATGAATTAATGATTATATTTAACACCCAAACAAATTTAATTGCCTATCTTCAAAAACATAACTTGCAATTTTAGGCAGCACTTTAGGGAAAATCTGTACAAATGGTCTTTGCCTGAACTTTGACTCAAGCCAGTGACCTTTAGTGAATAATTCCTATTAAATAAGCTTTTTTTCAGTGAATAGGTCCTTTACTTTAACTTTGTGTGTATTTCGAGGTTTTACCTTCATTTTTTTCTAGCACAATATTATTTAAATTAAACAACACCATTTACTTACAGTGAAGCAATATAATGGTGGCCATCTTGGAAAAGCTGCCTTAAAAACCTCTTTTCACTACTAAGATTTTTCTAGATTTTTTTATGTTTAAATTAGGATATTAAGTTTTCTGAAATACCTCATTACATTTTTTTAAATAAGTCCCTACTGAAAAAAAACGTTCAAAAAATTATGTCTTATTAAACTTTGTGAATGCACTTACTGGCGGCCATATTGAAAAATGCATTAAACCGGAACGTAGATGGGTGTAAGAAGAAAATGTAGAAAAAAACAAGTGTTTTCTATATATTATATGACATTTACATTGTCCTCAGAATGAAAAGAATTCAATATTAATTACCTACCCTGCCACTTTACATAATTTTTATCTATCTGATTTTTCACAATTTGTCTCATATTTCTCCTAAAAATACATATTTTGCAGCCAAACTTTATACATTTGTTGTGAGTGATGTAATAATTGTAATTAACACCAAAAGTTTCAATAACCAATCTTTAAAAACATTTATTGCAAACTTTTAGGCATAATTTCATGTTAAAAATCTGTATAAATGACCTTTGCCTGACCTTTGACCCCAAGCCAGTGACCTTTGGTGAATAATTCCTATTAAATAAGCTTATCTTTTCAACAAATTATTATTTGTCTACAACTTTGTGTATATTTCAAGGATTAACCCCCATTTATCTTAGCAAAATACCACCTAAATTAAAAGACACCATTTACTTACAGTAACGCAATATAATGGTGGCCATCTTGGAAAAGCTCCCTTAAAAACCTTTTTCCACTACTTAGATTTTTCTAGATTTTTATTATGTTTTAATTTGGATATAAAGCTTTCTAAAATACCTAATAACAATTTTTTTGCAGTAAGTCCCTACTGAAAAAAAAATGTTTGAAAAATTGAGTCTTATAAAACCTAATGAATACCCTTGCTGGCGGCCATATTGGAAAAAAGGAATTGAGCCTGAACATAGATAGTTGTAATAAGAAAATGTAAAAAAACAAATGTTTTCTATATATTATATGACATTTACATAGAAATATTTGTCCCCAGAATGAAGATAAGTCAACATTTAATACCTACCCTATACATTTATACATACTTTTTATTCATCTGTTTTTTCACAATTTGACTCATATTTCTCCTAAAAATACATATTTTGCAGCCAAACTTCATAGATTTGTTGTGAATGATGTAATAATTGTAATAAACACCAAAGGTTTCAATAACAAATTTTTAAAAACATTTATTGCAAACTTTTAGGCAATATTTCAGGCAAAAATCTATACAAATGACCTTTGCCTGACCTTTGACCCTAAGCCAATGACCTTTGGTGAATACTTCTTATCAAATAAGCTTTTCTTTTAAACAAAAAGGTCTTTGTCTCTAAGTCTGGATATATTTCAAGGTCTTAGCCCCTTTTATTCCAGCAAAAATACTCCTAAAAAATAAAGACCCCCTTTACCTATAGAGACTTAATATATTGGCGGCCATCTTGGAAAACTGCCCTAAAAACCATTTTCCACTACTTAGATTTTTCTAGATTTTTAATATGTTAAAATTTGGATATTTAGCTTTCTAAAAAACATTATTACAATTTTTTTGCAATTAGTCCTGGGTTAGGCCATTTTTTTCGCTCAGTTTACTAGTCTAATAACGTGATTGGTCGACAACAGTGAGAGGCAAAAATCATTCTGGCCTGACACGTAGCCATAAGTCACCCTACACTGTTTATAGAGGTTCTACGTTGCACTGAGCTGCACCTGTGCAATGCCGCGTTCTACCGATATAAGCATGAATTTTGTTAAAAATGATTTTTCGCATAATTAAAAACAGAAATTCAATGGATTTTTTTTTTACTAAATTCATTTTATCGATTAGTTATTTTCAATACATATTGATACATTTTAATACATATTTTCAATCATAGTTGAAAAATGCTGTGTCGTGATTTCGAAGTCTTTTTCAATGACTGTACGACTTTTGGACAGATGAGGCAGCATATCATATAAATGCGGTCATACACTGCTACCCAAAAGGTTGGGGCACATTTATATATATATCGATTTCGCTTATTTATTTTAGACATTTTTGCTTCCATTTAGCATCAGTATGCCTATATAATATATTGAAAATGACAAAAATGAAGCCCAGAAAAAGACAAAGAATTGTTGTAAAGCTAATGGCTGACACTTTCATTAATTGCAAGTATTAATTAAAGAGGAATCAAATGAGTTTAAGGATAGGGAGTTATTGAATGTAAGTGAAATTTCTTTAAGTGTCAACAAGTGTAGAAATTGTTTTCGTGGTAGGAAAAGATGGAACATGTCAAAGTCACATATAGTTCGGTTTGATAGGTTAATTTCTCAACAGATTTGCAAGTTTCTGACACGTGTAAAACACATGCAAACTAAGGATGGATATGGTCCATGAATTATTCAAATAATATTTTAAATATTTTAAATTGAAAATAAGTCTCTTAGAAATTGCTTAATAAGGAAATGTTGAATGGCGGTTTGCAACATGAGAATGGAAAATCCCTTGTAATCACGCAAAGACAATGGAAAAGAAAACAAGTAAAGGCATGATCAGTCTGGAGAAATAGAGTATAAATATTTGTGAAATTGTATGAAGAAGGCAGTCGGTGAATAAATGTTTGAAAGCTCTAGATCGTCGTCGACAATAACGACTATTGTCATTATAATAGAATATCCAACACTTTTGAAAACAGTTTGAGAGTTTAGTTCGGATGAGTTGGGAGGGTAGGGTCACCATACATATTTCCTTGTGATCAAAGATTTTTAAAAAATCTGTCAGAATTTTCTCCAGGCAATTAAGCTGTACAAAAATGGTGTCATCAAGTGCGACGTAAACAAATTACACAAATTTAAGACCCCCCCCCCATATTTGAGCGACATGTTATAAAAAATAAAATAGGCAATATTAGGACTAAACAAGTAAAAACCCTATTGTTTCGAGGAAAATAATTTCGATTTTCAACTTCATTTTGATTAGCTTCGTCCGTGTTTTGAAAAGCCATTTGGTGAAACATATTTCATTTACCACAGTAGAAGTTCACCACATAAATTCATATCTTGACGGGGGAAGAAAATCACCTCAAACAAAAGACTCAGATACGGAAAAGCCCTTTTGACGTTATGGAGAGAACGTGCAAGAATTAAAGTGCAATTAGTAACCCGTTGATCAGGCTAAGATTCGCAAGGGTTACCATAGTAACCCCTGCTAGTGACGTTATCGTCATTTGAGAGATTAGTTTTGTCAGATATACGAACCATAGACAGTAGAATCGATCGTGGCATAAGTGAGATGACTAATGGCGTTAAGCGATACCGCTTTAACATATAGAGTATTGCTTGGATTCGAAATTAGAATCGTCTTACAGCAGTCATATTCTGCAGCTTGTAGAGATTTTGCATGACTTATCAATACAGCCGTTTACCACTATACTGAGCGTTGAATGGTTGAAAGAGGATTGTTCTTCAAGAATCTATCTTGAAATCCATCTCTAACAGAACGGTCATGACAATTTTCATTTGCCCATGCGGTGATTTGGCGTAGCGACTATATATATACATATATATAGTAGAAGAGTCACAGGTGAAAGGGATATGAAGCACGGCAGCCATAACGACCCAAGCTGTCGTGACAATAATCGCTGTAATAACTTATCGATAGGAAGCTTTGAGGAAAGTGATAGGAGCAGCACGGTAACCCTCAGCAGCCAGGGAAGCTCTACAAACATCTCACTGTCAAGCATTTATCAAGAAGCCTTTAAATTTAGTATTCCCAACGTTCCAGAGTTTCAACAGGAAGAGATGAGCAAGGACGGACTCGTCTCACCCTCAGACTCGACGAAACAACGTGAGCATGATGCCATCCGGTCTTTTCCGAAATTGAAAAAAAGTATTTCAGAAATAGGTGAGTTTCGCGTAAGAAAAAATTCCTGTCCAGCTAAACAAGAAGCAAATCACGCAGCACAACAGACGCGATCTGAAGATTTGCGACAGTTGAGAAGAGCGGCATCCATTGAGCTGCGCTCATGTAAGACTTCTCCGATGCTGCCCCACAAATCACCACCAGTTGCCTCCCCAAAAGCGTTTCCTAAGAAAAACATATTTGTTACGTCCCTAACCCGGAGTCGCCCATCGTCTGTGTGCAGCGAAACAAACGAAGAAGATTTTCCTCAAAGGAGCAACAGCCAAAGTAAGAGCGCCCCTTCACTTAGTTTGAGCCTAAAGCAACACACAAGCCCCCATGCTAAACCCAAAAAGAGTAAAAGTTTATCCGAGGAACCCCCCAGCAGGCGGCCAGCATGGGTGTCAGGAATTTCTAAATGTTTGACCGACGCTTCTCAAAAGTTCTATCGCAACGAGCACATCTCTCAACTGTCCGATTTTCTGTTCATTGGAGACATACGTGGAGGGTATAACGAGTGGATAATGTGCAGACTAGGCATTGCCAGTATAGTGGACTTGAGCAATCCAAACAAAAAAGATCTGATGACATTTAAACAGATGTATTACCCGTGCGTTTGCCCCCCAAACGTGTCGCACGCTCGAGCCCGCTTGAACATCGCCATTAATGATACACACAATGAGAAGATAGACTGCTACTTTCGAGACATAAATATCTTCATAGAAGGGGCTAGGACAAGAAATAAAAAGGTGCTTATTTGCAGTTACTATGGTAAATCAAGATCCGCAACTGTTGCCATACAGTATCTTATGTCGTTTAACGGAATGACACTGGAGCAGTCGTACGGCCATGTGAAATATCATCGCCCAGAAACAGACATCAATGGAGGATTCTGGTTGACATTGGCTGCGTTGGACAGGGAGCTGCAGCAAGCCAGGTTACAATCACCGAAACACTCCAAGGAACTGGAGGTCTCTGACGTCACATTCCGTATGAGCGACTGTTGACTAAGTTCAATAATAATAAGTTTATTATAATAATAGCGATCAAAAGGTTGAACTTATTCAAATGCACTACTGAGGACAAAACTAAAAAAAATGTATATAAGATAAGTTCCATTAAGCACAAGCTTCTAAGAGCTGGTAAAATAAAAATGTTGCGAAAAAAATTGTTTCAAACTTGCTGAGCACAATGTAACTAGATCCAGTGTTTTTTTTTCTTTAAGAATTTTGGTGATTTGGTGATTGAAAATTCTGTTTATCATTTGCGTTGCGTATCAGAGAGACATTCTTAACATCCAGCCAGTAAGACTGTGTTAATTGAACAATATGTATGTGTTGGATATGGTAGTATATTGAGCACGATGATTTGCTCCCTAAGAGTCCCTGAGGGTATATTTTTTCCTGATTGTAACGGATCCACCAAACAAAATTTGACTGTATTTTTGCCACTTCTGGTAGGTTTACTGGACTATCACTATACTGTATGATCGAACTGAATTTAATTCATGGGCGACGAAGGATATGCTCATGTTTATATGTGTGTGTGTGTGTGTGTGTGTGTGTGTGTGTGTGTGAGAGAGAGAGAGAGAGAGAGAGAGAGAGAGAGAGAGAGAGAGAGAAACTGCTTACAGTAGTCATGTGCAATTTGGCGATTTTTGTCTCCTAGTCTAGGCCAATTAATTTTTTCTCAAATCAATGATTTGGCTAGGACAAGAAATAAAAAGGTGCTTATTTTTCTCAAATCAATACTGTATGATCAAACTGAATTTAATTCATGTGCGACGATGTCTCTAAGAAGGATATGCTCATGTTTATGTTTGTGTGTGTTTATGTGTGTGTGTGTGAGAGAGAGAGAGAGAGAGAGAGAGAGAGAGAGAGAGAGACTGCTTACAGTATTCTTTATAATCATGTGCAATTTGGCGATTTTTGTCTCCAAGTCTAAGCCAATTCTTTTTTTCTCATATCAATGATTGATTTTCAATATTTTATCATTTAAAAAAATAAAATAAACAATTTTATATTTCATGCATGTACTATATTCATGTTTATGTTCAAATGATCCACCATACCACAGAAAGGCCAATAATCATATAACAGTGTTCATCTTGATATTGATATTCATTTTTTTTTTTTTGCATTTGAATTTGAAACCCTTTACTCACATTTATAAAAAGCATAACTTAATATGTGAACAACGGGGATATTGGTTTGCCAGAGTCTCTGAAACCCTCAATTGTTCTTTTCTTCATTTGCTCTTCTTAAGCGACGCTATATGTCAACTATGATCTTGGCGTTCTGTTTAGAATATCGATTGAAATATTGCTCCATGCTAGTTATGACAACACCGAGCCGGTAGAATCTGTATCTTAGAGACGGTAATTAGGAATTTGCGTCACAAAAAAAGGGCAAAATTAGGATGTAGATACGACTTCGATGCGCGTTATAAAACTGTTTGAAACCATACGATTTGGAAGCTTGTGCTTTGTATGATAACATTTAAAACACGCGTACCCATGGGTAATTAATGAGAATATTGTGGTATTTCACTTCTTTGTGCCACAGTAAAATCTACTAGAACCTGAGAAAAAGAGAATGTATATAGAAAAGTATTACGCCAATTAAGCGAATATTTTGCAAAGATGAAGAACAACACACTGTTGTGAAAAAGAACCTGATAGAATGAACATAAGCTCATTATTTGTCACGAGATACTTATTACGTATCCGCTGGCTTTTATAAAAACTGAATTTTGATGAATACATTGAAATAAAAGCTTCCGCTATTCCTTGCGTGTATACCGCACCCGGAGAGAGTAGCCTACGTACTTAATATTTCAATTATTTGTTTATTGCCGGGGTATGTACCTATCGGTTATTTATTTAAAGGTGTTCCAAAAGGGAAATGGAAACTTGGCTGTAAAATCACATGTAAGGTCAGAAGTCTAGGCGCAATTTACATCGGCGAAATAAAAAATGAAAATGTATTTCGAGTTTTCTATACCTTTCGCTATACCATCTCAGTCTTCTTTGTTCAATCAAAACTCTGTATCCCGTCATTTCAGAGCACCTATTGTTCATCTCTGCCTCTGAATTTGCTTTGAATTTAATGGAACCATTCGCAAGGAAGTTTAAAAAGGATACAGGGTGTTTATTATTGCTGTCATTGTTGTTTTTCTGTGATTTCTAGCTTTATCCGATTTGCAATATTGCTATTGGCACATTTGAAAAAAAATGTTTTCCCTCTCAAGCCTGCTGGGGGCTAAAAACAGGTCATTGCCAAAATTGGGTCAATTTTTTTTCAAAATTGCCTTATTTTTAGTAATTTCCTAAAAGCATGTATTCAGGTGCACTGCCAGTTGTAGTTCTGCAGACTGTTGGTACAATGATAAGACCTTATGCTAGTAGGGTATTATATTTATTTGAAAAATATCATTCAATTATTTCATAAAAAAAAACTTATATAAAGTTGTTTATATAATAAATGCAAGCACAAGCTTTTTTCTTAGTAATATAAGCTCCACTAACTCACAGGCATGAAAGAAAATAAGATGAATGGGTTTCCATGCTTCCGTAACTTAGAAATAAATTATTTTTTCTTCCTTTTAGTAACCTATAAGATTGCTATATTATATGTCCCTTACATAAAAATGGAATTTTTACAAGGGTTTATCCCTCCACATTGATGACTGAAGTATATTCTAGTCGAGTAACACTTGCAAAGTCACATATTCTTTGAACTGTTGTAAATCTTGCTTTCCAAGAAGTCAGACAGACACACGCAGCAAATTCACAGCTGGTGTACACTTAACAAGAATCCTGTGACTATTTTGGAAGATAAGAGTATGTCAATTTTTTGTCTAGTGTTTTCCAACAGGTGCCTTAAGCCACTCACACGGGATCAATACTGATACAAAGCCTTTGATTGGCCTGCAATGGCTCTTCTACCTCTCCTTAGTTCAATATGGAGTAGCTCTGGAAGTACAGATATAAGTTGTTATTGTTTTTATCAATATTGCAGTGCATTACACAAGCTTTTGTCAAATTGAAAAACAATCCAGTTAAAGCGGACATGCATACAGACAACTTATATAGTGTATTTATGTAATTGTATCTCTGCACCCAAACGCAAACACTGAACAAATACATATTTAAAAAATAATGAATTTAAAAAAATCCAATAATTTTTGTAAAATTATTCAATAATGCTGATTTTCAAACTCAACCCGCTTTTTTGCCAAACAAAACATATGAATTAGAAACAATGGAGTGTCAGTTTTGGTATGAACAAATGTGCCACATGGTGACAGGATCAGCATTGGTGTCCACATAGATACACACAGGCACTCAGAAGACATACAGCCACAAGCAGTTTTTATTTGAATGCAATTTCCCATTACTGGAAAGGTTACTGACAGTGTCTAAATATAAAATCTATCAGCAAAAAAAAAAAAAAAAAAAAAAAAAAAAAAAAAAAANTGGCACACCCATCGGCGATATGACAGCCCTATAATTTCGGAAATTAGGCCTCCGAAGCATCAAAATCACACTAAACATAAGGTAAAACTTAAGGAAGGCAAGAAAGAAAAGAAGCAAATGAAATTGGGTTACTGTTATATTAAAAGTCATTGGGGTTACGAAATATAAGACCCCATTACTTGACATCCTTGAATTTGCGAATGCTCGCTTATGGATTAAAAGTGCCAATGTTATTCAGCGTGACTGCTCTTGTCAGCCATTAAACTATTTTCCATTCTTTTGTCGCTATATAAAACCACGGACATTAAAATTTGTAATGCTGTCAGAAATTAGAAACCACGATATGTGAAATCTCCGATCTGCCCCGAGGTAACGGTAATATTAATCAGCCCTTTTGAAAAAAAAAAAAAAAAAAAAAAAAAAAAAACCTGACTTAAAATTATAAACGAGATATTAAAAATTCCTTGGGAAGGAGGGACTTGGGGCAGAGTTTCTAGTCCCCCAGGGCGAACTTCTTCACTGAGAGAATCCTCTCTAGCAGCATACTATGTGAGATTTTGTAGACATTGCTGTTTGTAATTTTTGCAAATTCCCCCCATACCCTTCATAGACATGATATTTATGATTTGAACATCACTTCATAAATATACAACAGTATTTGATGCTGACATGAATACCCTTCACAGTAACAGATAATTGAACCTCTTTTTCTCTGTATAAAGAAACAAAGACATACACATACATACATACTTAACATACATACATAGTGATACATACATACATACATAGTGATACATAATTACTATAATATAAAATTTTACCTGGCAAATGTTACCACAGAGATAATGCCAAACAGCAGTTCCAGTGCTATAAATACTAACTCTATGGCTGACAGAATCACCTCAACTCGTAACACATATGTCTGCCATAACAATATATATAGAATACCAGCCAAAGTAGGGAGGCTCAAAACTATACATAGCACCACTGTGAGCATACGCTCAGTCAAATTTCCTTTTTGACCTGAAATTTAAATAAATAAAAATACAACCTGCATAAATAAGAAAATTTTCTTTGTACATGCATGATTGTGCATGCATGATTGTTTACTTTTCATATTGAGGGTTTTTAGAAGTCTGTCTGTTTGTTTAAAGATGTTCAAATAAAATAAGCATCTTATTACCAAGTTTGCTTTCAGATTACTACATCTTTGTTAGGACTAATGAAAATACTGAAAGAAAGTTCTTAATGACCCTTTATTATCCTAATCATTCTTAGATAATTATTTAATTTCCATGACTATTATTATTTAATTTCCATGATAGATATACCAAAAAATATCCTTAATGACTCTAATCCTCCAAGGAAAAATAATAGCACCACTTCTGCAGCAAGTACGCCATTTGGATATGGTAAAGTTTCACCTAGAAAAATAATAATAATAAAAAAGTTGAATTTTGTAAAGAACATCACTTTTCCAAGGTATCTAAACACTGGTACCTCCAGCATTCTAACAAGAGCAACAATTTTAAAAAAATAAACAATGTGTTTAGGATTATTTGATCATTATTATGATGTTTGCTATTTTTCATCAAACTTTATTAACCATCCTTTACAAAACATTTCCAAGTGAAAAGCTACAATACTTGATCAAAACACTTCATTAACAATACTAACACTAACACATTTCTGAAATGAAGTGGAATTACTAACTTTTTTTGTACAAAAACTTTTTGTTAAATGTAAACTTCCATTAATAAATCAATAACAACATTTGTCCAGTGACAGTATCAACTTTTTTCATGTAACATTGCCCAGGGTGGCACTTCTTATTTAATTCTTTTAAAGATGGCAGCAACAGATTATTGTTGCAAAATACTTTTTCAAATACATACATTTTCTTAAATGTTCAAAACACAGTATCAAAATGTTTTCAAGCAAAATTTTCAAACTGTACTTGGCAAAAAAAAAATTGTTTTTTTTACAACTAATTTAGTTTAAATGTTTTAAACATGACATATGTACATCATGAATAAATAAATTATATATATATATATATATATATATATATATATATATATATATATATATATATATATATATATATATATATATATATATATATATATATATATATATATAGAAAAAAACCTTTTGAATATTCAGTTGTGACAAGGTACTGATTGTGAACTTAAGGTACTAAGTGCAAATAGAGTAAAGGAGGCAATTTTAACATCAGTCAATTCTACAATACTATTAAATTAGCTTTTTTCATACTTCCTGTGTCTATGACGTAGATACAGTAATGACCTATACTCTGACAAATCATCAATAGTTCTTGACATTACACATTTTCCATCAAACAGTTTTCCTGCTAATTTTTCACGAAAATAAGAGAGTCACAGACAATACATAAGAACAGTTATACAAGTCAGATATTATAAGTGATTGACTACTGCGGTGGACTGATTATGGAGTTAATTGTAAAGTTAGGGCACCTTCCCAATGAGCCCAATCCCTACATAGGTCGATCCAATTCCACGGGCTGAATGCAATCAGATTAACAGATTAACTTGCCTTATCTTGGCTACAACATACTTGCTAATTTAATGGCATTCAGCTAGAGTCCCTGTGGAGTTGGATCAAACTACGTAGACCACTACTTTTATTGGGAATGAGCCATTACAGGTTCATACATTATTTCTTTGAGGTTTAAGTGTACTAGTAATTCATGTAGTAGCACGGCTGTGCATGAATTTAAGGCTACATACGAGATCACTTATTAAACCTGAAAAAAGTTAGAAAATCAACCTCTAATTATCTTGTGTACATACATATACTGCATTTCATTTGTTTCATAGTGGATTTCAATGCATCTGCTTTCTGTTTCTTAAAACAAGCTACTTTCAAGTTATCATATAAAAAACACTTTCTTTAAATGAAGATAGACTATAAAGACAGATCATGAAAGATACTTTAATGTCAAAGAACAAGCAATGTGCATTTGAGTAAATCGGATCTTACTAATGAATTGATATTTTCTAAGAATACAACACAAGGTCTTCATAAATTTTATCCAGGCTTTGTGTGGAAAGCCTGCATACATTTAGTGGAATTTACCCAATCTTAAGCAATGTGATAACAATGCATTGAGAAGCAAAATATTTATTTTTGTTTCAAGGCAGAATGTTTAACTCTAAGGCTAAAATAATTTACTGGGTCTGTATACATAATATACTGAAACACTCAGCACTGTCTTTGGAAGATAAATGCTCTACATGCTGCTCCAATATGCCGTTTGCTGATGCTATCCTTCCTTTTTGTTCATGAGAGCTGGGAATATTTTCTCCCTGAGTATTCTGTCTATGTCAGACCAACTCACCTTTAAATATATATATCAGGATCTCTGCAATCCAGAAGAAACCAAAGTACCAGGCATTGCAGTAGAGAAGAATCTGGTAAGGCAATGATGATCTCTGATTGAAGGTCAAGGGAATTCAATGATTCACACTAACAATACAAAAAAAAAGGGGGGGGGGGGGGA